TGGGACATCTCAGGAGCATGTCTACGAAGAATTTCCACATAAAATTCGGCATTCATGATTTGTTTGAAACAAAATAAGCTTGTTTTCCCCTTTGCGCTGAAAACGCCCCACGCCATAATTTTTGTACGATCTTTAGGCATACGCCGAACCGGCCTCTCTCCTTTATACCAACGTTCTACAGTATTCCTAAAAAGCTGGAATGCTGTTTCATCTGTAAACAAAGTTTTATTCCATCGGTCATTAATATGTTGTCTTGCCCACTCTACCCGTTTTATTTTGTGTGCTTCGGTCAGCATTGGTGTTGCTTTGGGTAGTCTTTTTAAATAGCCAACACCTGAAAGGTGCCTTCCAACAGTTCTATATGATGCCTCTACACCTATATTTTGTAATTTTCTCGCTAAAGTCCTTGTGGAAAGAGAAGAATCATGCCTTACATATTGGCTAAGTACACGGGAGGCGCTTGCGATAATCTTTTTAGGTCTACCATTCCCTCCAGCATGCTCTAACAAACCATTTTTTTTGATTTTTTTGATTTTTCTATAAATTGTGGATAGTGAAATGTTCGTAAGCTTGTGTAGTTTTTTAGCATCATGTATACCGTTATTCCACAATCTTAATAGAGTTTCATCGTAAGTTTTCGTCATTGCGCAAGATTTTATGTGGGAATTTTCTCGTTAAGTAAAGGGTGTTGGTAAACACAAAGGTTGTCAAACGTCGCCACAAACGTGTTATTTATTATGTATTAAGGTGGTACAAAAACAATCTATTTTTGGCGATGTAGATCATTTTATATCACGTGACTAGTTTTCTCATTTTTTTTGTCCCACACTGTATACCAAACTTAAAACTTACCATTTTCTACTTTCGTTATTCCATAAAACCGTATAATGTTTTCATGAAAGTCAACTCTTTTTTGTAATCTTATCTAAAAAAAAAAAAAAATACTTATAATATGTAAAAACTAGAATATAAGAATCGAGATTAGTTACCTCGTTAACAAGTTCTTTTAGTGTTGTGTTACAATTATTTTTGAAGGTCTTTAAAGCAAAAAAATTTCCAGCATTTTTCCAATTAGCACGAACGACACTTCCAAATGAACCATTTCCTATCGGTTTTAAATTTTTAAATTCAGAATATTCATAATAATTGAGATATTCATCTGCAATCGATTTTTCTAACCAATTGATATAATAATTTGGTTCTTTAAGGCCGGTTTCTTCCATTTCTTTGAAATAATTTTTTGTCAAGTTTTTAACAGCAGTTGAAACATAAAACTACCTTGTACTGCATTAAAATATTCGTGATTTTCATACTATTTAACCTTTTATGGTGACATTCTAGCGCCAGTGCCTATCGGTGTAACTCGAGAAAAATTTACCTGTGCCACACTACAAAATTTGTTTGTAATAGGAAATCTGGTAGAATATGTTATATCATAAACCATAATAAAATACATGAAAATATTCATTTAAGAATGATTTCATGAAAAATGGTATTAATTTTTTATAATAAATTTACTAGCAAATCTTTGATATGTAAAAAAATCGTTATAAAGAAAATTCTTATAAAATAGTTATAATATATATTGTTTAAGATCTACAGTCAGGCCGATATACTGATAATTGCCTGTACTGATAAATTTTCTATGTCCCATTTCACGATCAATAAAACGATGTAACATGTACCGATACTTTTCTTTGTTCTTTATAATTTTTTTTTTACGAAGTCAAATTATTACTTTCAGTATTTAGAAATTAGAAATAAGAAAAATTACAAAAAAGGAAATGATCTACATTATATAACATTTAGTAAAGAACACGATCGAACTATACTATAATATTATTAGGGATTTAAGATTTTATGTTCAAAAGAACTATCTAGCTACCATCCTGCTCCCAAATAGGTTCACTAAACTATCCGCATAACTACTACTATTCGTATAAACTTCGGTAATGTTATATAAAAACCCGCCACAACTTCTTCAACTACTACTACATCAAAAATAATAAAAACAATACTACGAAACACTACCATAATTTATTGTATTACCCAAAATAAAATATGACTTTGAAGACTTTGTAGATTAGAGTAATTCTTATTTTTTGATTTACGCGTTTTGTCAATAAACTGCTCTTTACCAAAATGTTGTTTTTTAACATTTTTATCAATTCCCAAACCTCTATCAATTTCATTAAGTTTATTACATCTCATTTTCCAAAAAATCATACATTTATCCAAAATTTCATTCTTAAAATTATATGACAAAATTTCAACTTTTGATTTTGTAGATAATAATTGTTTAAAAAAATTAATTAACAGACAAGGAAAGAAACCTTTAATTAAATCTATGAAAGTTATGTGATCCTCAAAATTTCAAGTTTCCAAATATCATTGATTTTAATGTGTTCAAGAGTAATATGATTAATAGGATCTAACATTTTATTAATTTCTAAAAGAAGCCAATTTTGTACTCCTAAAATTAAATCATCCATGTCCTCTCGTCTTACTTCACAAAACTAGATATGATTGAAATCTTCTTCATCCTCTTCACACATACTAGGACAAAACCTCTCTTTATATAATGAAAATAAAGTTCTTTTGATTTGTTCAGTGCAAGGAACTGAAGTTCTTCAAATCATCAACTGAATTTTGCGTCTTCTAATTTTGATTCTTTGAAATCAGTGTATAATTTTTGTTTTTCTCCCAAAAAATTATTAAAGAAAATTGACCAATCTATTTCACATTTTCTATACTTAACATTTCTATTTAAATTTAAAAATCTTTCCAAATTTTTCGTATTGGTTGTTTAATAATGTTATTAGCTTTCTTAAAGATTTTCTATAACTATGCTGTTCCATTTAGAAATCCAAGGAAGATCATAAAAACTATTATAATCCCTGACACCAGACATGAATAAAGAAACCCCATTTAAATTTGACTTTATCTTAACTTTCTTATTAAACTTTGGTTTTGATTTTAACTTTGGACTTTGAGTAAGTCTTAGATAAAGTACATGTCAAATACAGCTACAAATGTGTAAAGTGGACTAATTTCATAATATACAATGAGAAACACACCAGAAAAGTAAGGAATTATTAATAATGGTAAGTTTAATATGTTGTTTTTTGTTTTAGATATGCAACTTGTAAAAATTAGACTAATTTTAATTCTACTTTAATACTGTAATATATTACAGAAATTTGTTATACAGGGCATAATTGAACTGAAGAACACATTAGAAAATGTACAGTAAATTCAATACTTTTTGTGATTCTTTATTTAGCAAATAAAGTGTAAATCAGGCATTTATTTGTAATTATACTAAATTTAAATAAGATTTTATTATTATTTCTTTATAATATACAAAATTTTACTTAGATTTATGATAATTACAATTTAAGCTAAATTTATTGTAGTGGAAATCTGCTAGTTTCAAAAGGCCTATAAACTTCATGGAAATTGGACAAGTTTACAACTAAATTCCATGATGCACATTTTAATAGGATTTAGTTGAAATTACCAACCCTGTAAAAAATCTGATCCGTGTTTTATCTTTCCATATTTTTTCCGTGAATGTATCATTTTAATGGAATTTATAGCCTTAAATTATGGAAATTTTCATCTCGCTAATACGGATATCCATGAATGTATCATTTTCATGGAATTTTTATGGAAGACACAGAGAAATAATGGAAATATTCAGATAAAAATTTTTTATAGGGCAACAAATCAATAAGAAATTGGCCATGTATACAAAATTTCTTGGTTGTAAATGTATTGTATACTACCTAAAGTTGCCTGCCAAAATTAGGGAGTTTCAGCATGTCGAAATTGTCAAAACTATTTCGACATTTTGACATTAGCTCTCTGATTTGTCAAAATGCTGAAATAGTTTTGACATGTCGAAATTGTTGAAACCTAAAATATTATGTTTCACGTAATAACTCAGCATCCAATGATCGTAGAAAGATGCACCATAGCTCATTGGAATCGTCTCATAATAATGAGTTGAATGGTGGTTAGATTGTCTTTCTACTTTGCTAGTGTTTACAGCCAAGCCTCCCTCTACCTCTTTTTGAGGCATTCTCTGGCTAGTATCCTATCATCTTCATTGGGCAACCATTATACCGAGTACTTAATTTTTCAGGTAACAGCACCACTACAGAAGACATCCCCCATCAGGACACTTTTAAGGCTGCATCAGGAGTTGTATTTTTTATAGATTCTATGTAATATCTATAACTTTATATATATCCAATATAAATTTGTTACATAAATTTTTATAAATCTGTAATATATATAAATAATCTACTTATTTTTTATATAAATGTAAAAATATTATAAATATTCTATATAATATGCATATAAATATAAAATTATTTAAATATAAATTCATGTGTAATTTATAGCCAAATAAATATGATGCAAATATTTTAAATAAAATTATACAAATACAGAACTATTTAAATATAAATCCATGTATAATATAAAATCAAATAAATATTATACAAACATTTTATATACTGATTATATACATATAAAATTCAAATATACATTTTATTTAAAATTTTCATATAAATCTATATGGATTATATAAGTTAATTTTTAATAGTGTAAATTCATTCGAAATAACTAGAACAAACTATTATAGTTTGGTTATACAGTTATACTATAAACTATTTAGTTACATTACATGATTTTGTACGACCTAAATTTTTTTTAGGCTTAATCGTGAAATTATCACTTTTTTTTCTTTTTTCGTTCTTCTTCTATAAACTCTTTAATATTTTCTCAACTATCTTCTTTCTTGTTATCAATTTTTTTCTCTTCCTTTTCATCTTCACGTTTTCAATAGCTTTACAACTTTTTCCACTTCAAAAAAGGTAAACTACATCACATGTATCACGTGATATAATGTATTTACTTGCAGTTAACAGTTAATTTTTTTTTAAACTTTTTTTTTCAATGAAGTCTTCTTTCCTCTTTTGTCATTATCTTTTCTCTCATTCTTCCCCTTTTCCTTCTCATTTTTTTCCTTTCCTTTCTTTCATTCTTCCCTTTTCCTTTTCCTCATTTTTCCATTACCTCTCCTTTATTCTTTCCCCTTTCTCGTTAAAAATATTTTATAACTCAATTTTTTTTTTTTGGATTTTTTTAGTCTTCTGAACACGATATTTCTGTAAGTTTTCATTTTTTTAACAGTTCTAAATGGCTCTTTTTTCTTTTCTTTAAGCGGCTGAAATTTTGGGTCTATGAACGTGCAGAATTTCAGTTAGGGTTTCATTAAATCATTTAATTTTTATATGATGATTTATATTTCTTGCTTTCTTTTAAACAGTTATCTTTTTGGGTCTTTGGACGTGTAGTAATTCGCAAGATCCAGTGAAATTTTTTTTGATTTTTTATTTTTAGATATACATGTGGAAATTTGGTATTTCAGTTATTGTATTTATTTTCTTTAAAATTTATTTATTTTAACGAACTGTACTTGCAGTTCTATTCTTTCTTCTGGTTCTTTTGGATATCTTTGGACGTGTACTATCACTTTTTCTTTATTAATTTATGTATTTCAGCAAATAGTTTTCAGTTTTTTTTTTCTTTCTTTAGGTGACTCCTGGGCAAGTTTTCATTTTGAAAACATTACTTTTTTTAAAACAAAAGTCAATTTGTAACTTCTTTCTTTCTACCTTATAGAAAACTGCTCAACCACCTTTAAAAATGTTCTTTAAAAATATTTCTTTCTTTTTTGTATGTTTTTTTCTAATTTCAAATTCCTAGGGTGAGGTAAGCTTCAATTCACTCTTTTAACAAAAATGCAAATTTCCTTTTTAAATCTTTGAGTAAATTCATAATTTTTAAGAACTTTAACATTTTTTTATTTTTTGTAGAAATTCGACATCCAATTTTTGAATTAATTGTGAATTTTTGATGAATTTCAAAAAATTTTAAAAATAATTTAAGTGTTCTTCTTTAATGATTTTTTTTTTATAGGACTTAGCTTTAAGCCTCTAACCTGTCGTGGGATTCAGATAAAAATTTGTCTGTAGGATGAATGAATATGTAAGTTTTGAAACTTTAATTAATTAAAAAAAAAAAGAAAATTTTAAAGTTTTAAAGTTAACAGTTTACTACTAACTGCTTCTTTAATTATTTGTAGGTTTTGCACTTTGGAGGAGTGAATATAGTTATGTGAAAGGTGAGTTTCGAAATTTACTCAATTTTGAAACTTCTTTCTTTATTTAAGAAATGATTTTTAACCATTTTTCATTTTTTTATAGGATCAGCTTCGGATTTGATGCTTTGTCAACATGGATAGTAACGGTAAGTTCTGAAACCTGCTGGTTGAAGGCTTTGCATCGTTTAAATGTTTTACAATTAATTTTAGTTGATAACTAAAGAAATTTGTAATTTATTGTACAATATTAAAAGTAAACAATAATAAATTTGCAATTTATAATTTACATTATTAAATATTATATTATCTATTCAAAAAATACATAAAATTTATTTGAAATTAATGCAAAAAATTTATATAGACTCCATATAAATCTATTTTACACATAAAATCAAACCCACATAAATTCCACGTTGGGTCTTTAAAACTACATAGAATAGTGTATGTAGATTTTACATACATTTTTTCATATAAATCCATATAGAATATAACTCCTGATGTGATCTGAAGCTAGGAATACGCCGCCTACTCATCCTATATCCATTGCATGATACTGATACTCAATTTATTTTATGACCTTTAGAGAGCACCTACTTTCATGGAGGACTTTCGACAGGTAACATCAACCATCTAGTACCCTTCCATACCACCATTTTAGGTATTAAGTCTCACTCAAAGGCCACTACAGCCCGCAATTACCTAGCACTGATAGTACAGTTGTTTACCCCAAGTGGTATACTTTGTAGTGACCACTCAGACAGGAAGTAGCAGGCATCTGTCCAGGATCACCCCTTATGGTGGGTATCAACCACCAGGGATCACCAACCAGGACCCAAAGAGTAGGGAATCGAACCCATAACCATGCTATCTGTTCTGTGCACAAACACCTTGGTTGTAGAGGTGTGCTCCAGTGAAATCCGTTCAATCCATCATCCGATCCGATCAAAAAACGGATCATCCGGATTAAGAATGAACGGATTGCGGATAATCCAGATGGATCCGTTGGATAACATCGGATTGATCGGATGTTACACGGATTACCGAATTGACTGGATTGATCAGATAATCTGGTCAAATTCATAACTTTTTTTTTTTTTTTTTTCTTTAGGGGACGCCTTCCTGAACCCGGTTTTCAGCTTGGGCTATTGAAGGTAAGTTAATAATAGAGGTTTTCATTTTTTTTTGTCATTAGGAACATCATTAACGTTCCTTTACTTCTTTTCTTTAAGGGACGTCTTCCTGGACTTTTTTTTCAGCTTGGATTATAAAGGTAAGTTGGAGGAAGAGTTTTTTTATTTTTTCTTGTCTTTAAGAACGTAATTAACGTTCCTTTTACTTCTTTTCTTTAGAGGAACGCCTTCCTGGACTTGTTTTTTGGCTTGGGTTATAAAGGTAAGTTGGAGAAAGAGTTTTTTCTTGTCTTTAGGAACGTAATTAACGTTTCTTTTACTTTTTTTCTTTAGGGGAACGCCTTCTTGGACTTTGATTTTGGCTTGGGTTATAAAGGTAAGTTGGGGAAGGGTATTTTGTTTTTTTGTCTTTAGGAACGTCATTAACATTCCTTTTTGCTTCTTTTCTTTAGAGGGACGCCTTCCCGGACTTGGATCTCAGGCTTGGGTTATAAAGGTAAGATGGGGAAGTGTATTTTTTTTATTTTTGTCTTTAGGGACGTAACTAACGTTCCTTTTTGTTTCTTTTCTTTAAAGGGACGTATTCTTGGACCTGGATTTCGGCTTGGGTTATAAAGGTAAGATGGGAAAGTGTATTTTTTTTTTTTTTTTTTAGGAACGTAATTAACGTTCCTTTTGCTTCTTTTTTTAGGGAGACACCTTCTTGGACCTCTAAATCTTAAACTTTTTATAAATATTGTGTCAACTAATTTGTTAAAAATCATTTGTAATAACGTAAAAATAAATACTATGTTTATTATTATAAAATTTCTAATTGTTAATTAATATTAATAAAAAGTATTAAGTAGAAAAAACTGAATTCAGATTCACCGGATTCACCGGATTGACTGAATTATTCAGATATCCGGTCAACCATCCAGTCAAATTGGTGAGCAAGTATTGACCGGATATCCGATGATCCATCCGGTCAATCCGATGAATCATCCGGATCAATCCAAATCTGGTCAAATTTCGGATGGATGACTGGATATCCGGATTGACCGGATTCGGAGCATACCTCTACTTGGTTGGTCTAAGACCTAACAGAAGGTCAAACTACAACTAAGACATTGCACCCTCAGCTTTACCATCTAGGACGACCATTTAGCCATTACTGACCCCAAGTGGTATCGTAGAGTGACCACCCAGACAGGAAGTCCCCCTAAGGTATAGTAGTGACCTCAAGGACAGGACTGCGCACATGCCAATAGCCTCATAGGGAACGTTAGAAAGATACCATGACCTTTAGTTGAAATGTGCGGCCTAACTGTACACACTAATTCATAATGATGCAGTCTAACTACGCTAATCCCTGTACCNCTCTTTTTTTTTTGTCTTTAGGAACGTAACTAACGTTCCTTTTGCTTTTTTCTTTAGGAGGACGCCTCTTGGACCTGGATTTCGGCATGGGTTATAAAGGTAAGTTGGGGGAAAGGTATTTTTGTTTTTTTGTTTTTAGGAACGTAATTAATGTTCCTTTTGCTTTTTTTTTTAGGGAGACATCTTCTTGGACCTCTAAATCTTAAACTTTTTATAAATATTGTGTCAACTAATTTGTTAAAAATCATTTGTAATAACGTAAAAATAAATACTATGTTTATTATTATAAAATTTCTAATTGTTAATTAATATTAATAAAAAGTATTAAGTAGAAAAAACTGAATTCAGATTCACCGGATTCACCGGATTGACTGAATTATTCAGATATCCGGTCAACCATCCAGTCAAATTGGTGAGCAAGTATTGACCGGATATCCGATGATCCATCCGGTCAATCCGATGAATCATCCGGATCAATCCAAATCTGGTCAAATTTCGGATGGATGACTGGATATCCGGATTGACCGGATTCGGAGCATACCTCTACTTGGTTGGTCTAAGACCTAACAGAAGGTCAAACTACAACTAAGACATTGCACCCTCAGCTTTACCATCTAGGACGACCATTTAGCCATTACTGACCCCAAGTGGTATCGTAGAGTGACCACCCAGACAGGAAGTCCCCCTAAGGTATAGTAGTGACCTCAAGGACAGGACTGCGCACATGCCAATAGCCTCATAGGGAACGTTAGAAAGATACCATGACCTTTAGTTGAAATGTGCGGCCTAACTGTACACACTAATTCATAATGATGCAGTCTAACTACGCTAATCCCTGTACCTTCACGCTATTTGTTGTAGCATTCGCAGTATAATTTGTTTAATTTCTGTGATCGGTGGAATTGAACCTGCGACCTCACTATACTCAGGCTTAATGAGGGTTTTAGTCACTTACCACTGAGAAAGGGTGATCAACCCTTAGATTGTCTTTCTACGATTACTGAATGCCAAGATATTAAGCAAAACGTCAAAAATTGGTATTTTGTATTTTGCGATACTGTGCCGTTTGACGTTTCATATAATAACTCAGCATCTAATGATCGTAGAAAGATGCACCATCATAGCTTGTTGGAATCATCTCATAACGATGAGTCAAATGGTGGTTAGATTGTCTTTCTACGATCACTAGATGTTGAGATATTGAGCGAAATGTCAAAAATCAGCATTTTGTATTTTACGATACTGCGAGTAGTATAGAAATTCCAGTTCTGGCTCACTTCCCTCAGAGTCCAATCCTGGTTACCTTTTTCTTGCTACCACCCCGTTGCTCCCCCACCGGCTGTGGGTCCAATCCTGGTCACCTTTTTCTTGCTATTTCCGTTACTCTCCTACTGGCTGTAGGTCCAATCCTGGTTACCTTTTTATATTTTCACCTACTTATATCACCATTTTTACCTATTTATACCACCTATTTCATCTACTTATTTCCTTACATTACCTATTTTATCTACTTTTTATTCATCCTATTTATATTTTCATCTACTTACCCCAACTGAACAAGAAATAGGATTTTAAAACCAACAGAGCCAAAAAAGGTAAGGAAATATTAACCCATCCAGAAAACCAGCCATGGAGTCAATAGAGCGGAATAGCAAGGCAAGCAATTACTCTTATACCGAAAAAAATGTAATTGAATAAAAGGTAGGTACTAAGTAACTATACAGATAAACAGTACATAACATGGCATATACCGCAAAAAAGTTAGCAACAATCTTCAGTTGTACAGTCTCCGATCTTATGACTATCAATAGGAGAATACTTCTTGAGCAATGCAGAAAGCAAACCCCGTTAAAAATCCCTGAACTTGTAGGCCACATCCTGGAATACATTCCAAGTAACAATTTCAGGCCACATCTTCTAGAAATCAATCCAATCTGGAGAGCCGAAGCTGAACGAATACTCTGGAAGTGGCACATGCAAGTCAAGGAGACATATAAACAGGTGGCAAATATATGTAACAAAGCTGAAAGGGCTTACTGGTGAGATTGTGCAGATGGTGGTATAAATCTTGATAAACTTACCGATAAAATAGAGAAAGTTATTCAAGAAAAGTATACCAGGTTCATAGAAATGGTAGTCATAGAACAAGCTACTATTCTCCATTGTAGCTTTATATCAGAAGAAACTAATAAGGGAGAATACATCTGAATGATATGCAACTTCGAGTTATTTAAGGATGGGGATACTCCTGATAAGGATGTGTTCGGTGACTTGGATGATGATGACTCAGATGGTGATAAATAGTTTAGGAAGACAGTACTAATCTGTCTCCTTCTTTTTTTACCTTCATAGGGTAGGCGGACAATTAATTTTTTATTTCAGAAAAAATCTAATTGAATAAAAGAGGAACCTAAAAAGTTTACAAGATATCAACACATCAAGCAAGAAGTGTCCAACACAGATAAGTCATCCGATCAGTTCTAGCTGAACTTAAGCAGGTATCTGTCAAGTCCATCCAATATCCACGCTCAAATGTAAAATTGCAGGAATATGAGGATGAGATCTGCCAAATCCGTGAAGTACAAATGGCGGCAACTAATAAAGAGATAACCCCATGATGCAAATCAACCCAGATTCACATTATGAGGTAGTCTTTGAACATTGTGATCAGGTACGTATAGGAAAGGAGTTAACAGACTCAAATTTTATGGCCGATATTGCTATAGGAACACCTGGAGAGCATGACAGGACCCCGAAATATACATAAAAGGGTCAGGTCAGAGTTTGCGTATAATGAGTCAAAAAAATCATGTAGATCATTCCTTTTATGGATAATCCCAGCCAAAATAATATTTCCTAATTTAGATAATGGCTGAAATTATCGTAATTCCGGCCCTGAAAGAATGCGTATTTTGGACCACTTCTGGACCTGACCTCTACATATATATTTCGGGATCCTAGCATGACTATGCTTCATTTCTTACAGCACACAGTCAAACAATCCAGAATATTCTTCAGGATGAATGAAATCGATTGGAATCAATAAAGGTAAGAATTGGAATATTTGCCACAATAAGACGTTTAGATTCTTACCTTGAGAGATTATTCAGAGATTGTAACTTTAGTGAAGATGATGGAGTAGAGTATATCTACAGATATAATATACCATTTAAAACTCGCAATATGCCAATCCTACCATCAACAGATATTAATGGTACATTTAACTCTGCATTAGCAAGAATCATGCAGAAAGTAGAAGACTATGTAAATTACGGATCAGGTTGGAAATTCTACACTAGTCGAAAAAGGAATATTCACTCAGTCTTAGTAAAATTCGGCCTATATTCGACTAAAATTAAAAATTCAACTTTAATTAGCAATGATCTACAATTAGACATTGGTCGAATAACTAACCATGCTGGTCGAATAGCCACATCACGTGTTACGCATATCAAAAGTTTAAAAAAGAATCTTATGCATTTTTTTTTAAACTTTTATTCCTTCTTTTCCTCGTCCTTTGGCCCTATAGGTGCGGAAAAAAACAAAAAAAAATTATTTTATTTTATTTTTTTTAAATTTTAAATGTGGCCCTTTCCCTTTTCGTAGTAATTCTATGGGAATGCCGGTTGAAACTACGCACTGGACTTTGGATAATAAGGTAAATGGGAAGGGAAAGTCATTTTTTTACTTTAGAAACGTTTTAACGTTTCTTTTTTTTCTTTTTCTTGCAGGTATTGCCAGACGAAACGAGCTTCGTGATAATAAAAAAACTAAGATTTGTAAGTAGAATCTTAGTAGTTTTTTTTTAATATTATGGAACGGTTACTAACCGTTCGTGTTTTTTTTATAGGTTTCAGGAAAACGAAGGGAAAGGGTAAAATGAAGGGAAAAGGGTAAGATGAAGGGGAAAGAGTAAAACGAAGGGAAAGGGTAAGATGAAGGGGAAAGGGTAAAATGAAGGGAAAAAGTAAAACGAAGAGAAAGAGTAAAACGAAGGGAAAGGTAAGACGAAGGGAAAAGGGTAAGACAAAGGAAAAAACGAAAGGGAAAGAGAAAATGAAAGGAAAGGGTAAAACAAAAGGGGAAAATGAAAGTGAATGGGAACGGAAAAAGGAGTATTTTTTTAAGATTCGTAAGTATTATATTACGAATCTTAAATTTTTTTTTTCTTTTTTATTATTATGGAACGGTTTACTAACCGTTCCTTTCTTTTTTTTATAGGTTCAGGTGGACTTCTGACGAATGGAAAACCAAGATTCGTAAGTAAGTACGAATCTTGGTTTATTTTTTTTTCTTTTTTTTTAAAAATATTACAAATGGTTACTAATAACCATTCTTTTCTATTTTTTAGGTTTCGGGTGGGTACTTCTGAAGAAGGAAAACCAAAAAACCAAGATTCGTAAGTAAGTACGAATCTTGGTTCTTTTTTTTTTGTTTTTTTTTTTAATATATGAACGGTTTACTAACTGTTCTTTTCTTTTTTTTTATAGCTAGTTCAGGTGGGCTTCCGAAGAATGAAAACCCAAAGATTCGTAAGTACAAATNATGAACGGTTTACTAACTGTTCTTTTCTTTTTTTTTATAGCTAGTTCAGGTGGGCTTCCGAAGAATGAAAACCCAAAGATTCGTAAGTACAAATCTTTAATTTTTTTTTATTTTTTATTATTACGAATGGTTTATTAACCATTCTTTCTTTTTTTTTATAGTTAGTTCAGGTGGGCTTCTGAAGAACGAAAACCCAAAGATTCGTAAGTACAAATCTTTAATTTTTTTTATTTTTTATTATTACGAATGGTTTACTAACCATTCTTTATTATTTTTTATAGGTTCAGATAGACTTCTAAAGAATGAAAATCCAAAGATAAAGATTCGTAAGTACGAATCTTTCTATATATATATTTTTTTATTTTTTTTTATCATTTTGGAACGGTTTACTAACTGTTCCTTTCTTTTTTTTATAGGTTCAGGTGGGCTTTTGTGTGGAAAAACCAAGATTCGTAAGTACGAATCTTGGTTTAATTTTTTAATTTTTTTTTTAATATTAATGAATGGTTACTAATAACCGTTCTTTCTTTTTTTTAGGATCGGGTGGAGTGGGCTTCTGACCTTTGGGAAAAGAAGAACCAAGATTCGTAAGTACGAATCTTGGTTTATTTTTTTTTTAATTTTTTTTTTAATATTACGAACGGTTACTAATAACCGTTCTTTCTTTTTTTTTAGGATCGGGTGGACTTCTGACCTTTGGGAAAAGTGGAACCAAGATTCGTAAGTACGAATCTTGGTTTATTTTTTTAATTTTTTTTTTAATATTAATGAACGGTTACTAATAACCGTTCTTTCTTTTTTTTTTAAGCTTCGAGTTGGCTTCCTATCTTCAGAAAAGTGGAACCAAGATTCGTGAGTACGAATCTTGGTTTATTTTTTTTATTTTTTTTAGTATTATTATGAACGGTTACTAATAACCGTTCTTTTCTTTTCTTTTTAGGTCCTAGGTGTCTCGGGTGTCTTCTGAAGAACGGAAAAAACCAAAGATTCGTAAGTAAGTACGAATCTTGGTTTTTTTTCTTATTTTTTTTTAATATTATGAACGGTTACTAACCGTTCTTATCTTTTTTTTATAGGTTCAGGAGGATTGCTAAAGAAAAATCAAAAATTCATATATACGAATACATGAATCATATAATTGTGGAATTGTATTTGAATTAGCAATATTTTTTGTAAATTAGATAGATGCAATAATAATAATATAATTATAAAGTATTTAAGAATTAATAAATACATTTATTTAATAAATTTGATAAAAAAAATCAAAATAAATTCATAAATAAATGGGTTGTTATTAGAACATAATTCAGCTTAAAGTTTTAATATTGAATATTGGTCAATTTAAGCCTGAATAATGGTCGAATAATTTGTCCAAATTTGAGACGATTGGCACCCTAAATGTGCCCAAAAATTTGACCTCAATTTGACACAGATTAGATCATCATTCAACCTATATTCGACCTGGTCAAATTTAGGTCAAATTGTCCTTTTTTGACTAGTGCTATCGTGTAGAAAAAATATTCATAGAAATCTTGCAATTCCAACCACCTACAGGAGCAGGACACATACCACTCCCAAAAGATCTTGCCACGAAAAAGGGAGTAGTAAATCCAGCTAATGATGATGACAAATGCTTCAAGAGGGCAATCCTAGCAGCATTACATCCAGTAGAAAAGAATGCAAAAAGAATTTCCAAGTATAAGGAGTATGTAAATGAGTTAAACTTTGAAAGTATCGAGTTCCCAGTACAAGCTGATGAGGTAATTCTAAAAAGATTTGAGTGACAGAATCCAACTATTGCCCTCTGCATCTGTGAATGGTGTGATCACCGCTTATGCCCAATATATGTTACCGATAGGGATGATGCAGAGGGCTGTAAAATAATAGATTTAGTACTTATTAGTAACGGGGAAAAGCAGCACTATTGCTGGATTAAGAATATGAGTCGCTTAGTAAATAAACGTATAAAGATGGACATGCTACATTTGTCTGCCGATGGTGTATCTCCCACTTCACACATCAACAAGAAATCCATGACAAATATGTAGCAATATGTCGAGGATTAAATAAAACCCCACAAGCAGACCGCATGCCATCAGTAAAGAAAGGAAATGATATATATGAATTCAAGAACTGGAAATGCCGCATGCAAGTCCCATATTACTTTGTTGCAGACTTTGAAGCCCTAGTAATGGACATACCACCCACAGATGCAGATAAAGATAAGAAAACCAAGAAAGTACAAGAGCAAATCCCTGCTCATACTTGTATATTAAGGTAAGATATGAGTAAGTGAATCACAGAAAATATTTACAGGAGAAAATGCAGCACAAAAATTTGTAATCGAAGTGCTAAATGAGGCTGAAGCAATCCGTAACAAATTCAGAAATCCAATGGAAATGATGCTGTTAACAATCCAAGAGCAAGCAAGTTATGATAATGCAATAAACTGCTGGATATGTTGTAACCTTTTAGATGGAAATAAAGTAAGAGATCACTGCCATATTACAGGAAGGTATTAAGGTGCAGCACATAGAGGATGTAATCTTGACTTATCCATAAAACCTCGCGAAATGCATATCCCAGTAATTTTTCACAATTTATCAGGATATGATGGACACATGATTATGCAAGGAATTGGTGCAATGGAATGTGATTATGATATTGATTCTATCCCTTATAACATGGAAAAGTATATGGCATTCAAGTTAGGTTCTCTTCGATTTATAGACAGCTTACAATTCATAAAATCAAGTCTCGACAAATTAGCATCCAACCTAGGCGCAGAAAAATGTAGAGCACAAGAATGTAGTAATCCACAACACTTATGGCGAATTGATGCAGGTAGATGCTTTGCACATCCAAAAAACTTTAAGATAACACGAAGTCAAATACCAACTGAATTACTCGAGATTTATCTTAAGAAAGGTGTCTACCTGTATGATGAATACATGGATGACTGGAAAAAGTTCGAGAAAACTAGTTTACCATCTAAAGGAGCATTCTATAGCAAACTTAATGAAACCCACATTAGTGATAAAGAATACGAATATGCACAGTATGTATGGGAAAAAGCAGGATGTAAAACAATGCAAGATTATCATGACTTTTATCTCAAAACTGACGTCCTCCTACTAGCTGATATATTTCAGAATTTCCGAGAAATGGCCTTGAAAAAATATGGGTTAGATCCTCTCTGGTATTACTCAACACCAGGCTTTGCATGGGATGCACTATTCTTCATAACAGGGCAAAGATTGGATCTTATAACTGACCAGGGTATGTACATGATAGTAGAACAAGGATTACGTGGTGGAATCTCTATGGTAAGTAAACGATATGCTCGTGCAAATAACCCAGATATAGGAGAAGGTAAATGGATCACAGATAAGCCCAAGTCATCTATTCTATACTTAGACGCAAATAACCTATATTGATGGGCCATGTTGCAATACTTACCTACAGGTAACTTCCACTGGGTAAAGGAGGAAACCGAGTTATTTATTGGGGTTTTCAAAAAAATTGATCTGCATAAAAAATTTCCATACATACATACTAATTTTTTTACTGACTGTTAACTATTTTAACTATTTTCAATTTTTAAAATATAAAATTTTTTCTGTTTACGTTAAAAGTAGACTCTAGAAGTGCTGTAAAATAACTTTTGTATATACTTTATATAAACTTTTATGCCTTTATCTCTCTTTATTTACGCGATTACACCTTGTAACCCGGTTTGATCACACTTTTTTTTTAGAGATCACACTTGTAATTTTCAATATTATTCAAATACTTTTTTTCTCAAATATGACCAACCACTTGAGTGAAGATTTAAGATGGAGAGTTGTTTATTTATGGCTTGATAGCTATAAGCCAAAGGAAATTTCACAATTACTATATATTAGCGAAGCAACAGTTAAGAGAATCTTACATTTCTATCAATTATGGAGCTGCATAAAAAATCCTTTTAGGAGAAAGCAAGGAAGGAAAAAGATGTTTAATGCTAATGATATGGATGTAAGTATTTTTCGTCTGTCATTTTTGTTATGTAATACAATAACTAACATTTTATATAAGATTTTGATGCAATTGATAAATGAAAGAAAAGATTGGTTTTTGGATGAACTGGTTGCGGAAATGGCTAAAAGGACTTCGAAAGTTGTATCTATTCCAACTTTGTGGCGGTCTCTAGACTATTGTGGTATTACGAGAAAAAAGGTATATTGATAAATAATTTATGGGTTCTAAAATTTTTTAAATTAATTATTTATAATATTTAATTATTAAAGTTAGAAAAAGCTGCGAAGGAAAGATCAGAGATGTTAAGGGCCAATTATGTTTTAACAATAGGAACTTATTATAATCCAAAACAATTAATTTTTCTTGATGAAAGCTCAAAAGATGAAAGAACTTTATCTAGACGTTATGGCTATTCACCTAAAAATACTTCTGCAATTCAAAAAGTAGTATTTTTAAGAGGAACAAGATACACTATACTACCTGCACTTTCTTTAGATGGTATCTTAGCAGTAGATATCATGGTAGGCAGTTGTAACAAAGAAAGATTTTGTACGTTTATTTTATCACAAGTCGTAAGTGTATATTTCTTTAATTAAGGAAATTTAACGTGAAAATTGTAAATTTGATTATTAATTTTATTAATTATAACTCTAATTTTTTATAGTTACTGTTAATGAATCCATATCCACAAAAGAATAGTGTATTAGTTATGGATAATGCAGTAATTCATCATAATGCAGAATTAATTAGAATTATTGAAAGTGTTGGTTGTAAAGTAGTTTTTTTACCTCCTTATTCGCCAGATTATAATCCAATTGAATTGGCATTTTCAGTTATTAAAAGTTGGTTGAAAAAAAATAAGGATTATATAGAGTTTTGTTTAGATCCTTATTTTGCTTTATTATTAGCTTGTGGACAAATTACTCCTGATATGGCTAAAGCTTTTTATAAATCTTCAATTTATTTTTGATTATAATAAAACTTTATTAGAATTTATTCTGAAAATTATATTGTATTACAACATGGATTACAATGTTAACATTATAACTATTTATTATATTTATCTAACGCTCTAATGATCTTACTTTTTGGTCCAACTTTTTCAATTCCTAATGTAATCCAGTCATTATCTTTAAAATTGATAATATCTAATACATCAACCTCTTGTTCTTTAAAAGCATCCAGATATTTTGTAAACGTGTTGGCACCATACTCTTTATCTAAATCCTCCAAAAATTGTTCTATAGTTATCTTTTGTAATTGCGTATTTACAGAGTTATCTTGTATGATATTTGTATTTGTATTTGTATTTGTCCCTGCATTACCTTCGTGTAAAAAATTTGTGTTCATATTTGTATTTGTGTTCCCATTTGCGTAATTTTCTTGCGCAATTTTTGTATTTGTAAAATTTTGCATTTGTGTCAGATTACTATTAGACAAAAAATGAGAATTTTCGCTACTAGATGATGGTAAAAAGTAAGAATTTGTTTGCATAAATTGATTAAACAAATGTTGATATAATAAAGGATTAATAAAAGGAGAAAATTGAGAATTTTGAGAAATTTGAGGATTATATTGTGTTAATGGTATTTCTTTTTTTTTAGTTGAATTGAATAAAGGTACAGCTGGAGGGTCATCAACGCTTGCAAATCCTCTTTCCTTAAATTTATTTAAATAAATTAGATTTAATTATATGGTTTAATTTAATTGCAATCATAAAAATTAAAATTTTAAAACTTACAATTGCATTAGCCCAACTAGTAAGATGATGGGGAGTTAATTGAATATGTCTTGTTGTATCAATAAAACAAGTTCGAGAATATTCTTGACAAAACCATTTTTTAGTCAATTCCATTATAATAGCGGCTTTTTTTGAACTCTCTTCATCAATATTACTCTCCTTAGGAACAATATTACTAGATGATTTTGATACTTTTCTTTGATCGGATAGTTGACTAATTTCTAAATCTACATCGCTATTCCAAATAAAAATATAAAAATATTAAAAATATTAAACAATAATTTATATTATTAGGTTATATACTTTACCTTTTCAATCTTTTATTTCTTTTTTCCTTTATTTCTACAATAACAAATAATTCCTTTTTGCTAGATAAAATTTTTTGATAATCTAATAAAAATTTCTTCCAACATCTTTTATCTATTAGTTGTATACCCATTCCGTGTATTGAACTTTTATAAATGATGATATAATTATCTTTTTTTATAAAAGTATCAAATTGGTTTTGTACTAATTCTAAAATTTCGTCTTCAAATTCTATAAATGTAAAAACTTTAAAAGATTCCCACTTTGCTGGCCTCGCTTTTTCATTACAAGGTCTTATAATAAAATTGAAATTGAATTCTGTAATATCACAATCATAATCACTGCTTGAATATGTTGAATCTTCAGCATGAGTAGGAGAACTTGGTGGAGAAGTCGATAGTGGAGAAATCAATATTGGAGAAGTCGAATGTGATGAAGCTGGAAGTGTAGTAGTTGTGGAATCATATGGATCTAAATTTAATTCAAATGTCTGTTTTTTTTTTGTATTATTTCTCTTTAACCTTGCAAATATATTGTGACACTTTGTACATAAAGAAAAATGAAAATATCCATCAAAATTAGAACAATATCCAAAATACTTATCACATTCCTTCAGTTTATCAATTTGTAATTGTATAAGCTTTCCATTATCTTTCGAATTATAAATCCTACTATAGCATTCTCTTTTTTTTTGCTTATTTTTGGGTTTTTCAGTTGCATCACATTTACACGTATCAAAAGCAAGACTCTTGTTACAAGTCAAATAAAGTTGACATAAGTAACAGGTACCAGGCTGATAGTTCCTTGCAATTGGCTTTTGTATATTCATAGAATAAAAAAACGCGTATTTAAATAAGTAAAAATGCGTAAATAATGAAAATTTAAAAAATTTTTATATCTTCGAATATAAAATTTAAATTTATAATTGTGTAACTTTATTGGCTAATTTGTGTTAATCATGTGATCTGTGATCAGTTTGTGTTCACATTTGTGTTCATATTGTGTATTACGATATTTTCATGCAGATCAAATTTATTGAAAACCCTAATAACATTCAAAAACAAATAGAAAGTAATGAAATACCAGACGATTCTTCTGAAGGATATATCCTTAAAGTTAAACTGGAATATCCCCAAGCCCTCCATTCAAAACACACAGATTACCCCCTTGCACCAGAACGAATGAAGGTCAAGAAGGAATGGCTTAGTAAAAAGCAGCAGAAAATAATAGCACGCTCAGGATAACGATACACACCCACAGATAAGCTCATCCCTAACCTATTCGATAAGGATGAATATGTAGTTCATTATAGAAATCTCCAGTATTATGTTAGCCAAGGCTTAGTAATCAAGAAGGTCTATGAAGCTATAAAATTCGAGCAGGCTCCATGGATGAAACCATATATAGAATTTAATATTGCCGAACGTGCTAAGGCTAAGAACGATTTTGAGAAGGACTTCTATAAATTCATGAATAATAGTGTATTTGGTAAAATTATGGAAAATCTCAGGAAACGTGTACGTGTCTCAGTAGTACAGCCCCAAATCCATCCCAAGAAATATAAAAAGCTTACCTCAGATCCTGCATTCAAAGGTCATAAAATATTCTCAGAAAATCTTGTCACAATCGACTGACGAAAAGTGGAGGTAATGCTTAACCGTCCAACATATGGGGACGCCCACAGCAAAAGCCGGGGCTTGGCCAAAATTTTGATTTTAAAATTTTATTATAATTATATATTTATTAATCCAATCTTTTAGAGAAAAAAAAATTTTTTTATTCATAGTATATTAAAAAAATATAATATTTTATAATTTATGATTTTTGTATTTTTATTTTATTATATTTAATGGATAATATAAACTTGCTAGAAAAAAAACCAATGTTTTAATGAATTCCTTGCAAAATTTTACCCTAGTTTGCAAAAAACTGATTTTAAAAATCTTTAAAAATGATAAAATAAATTGCGATTTACTAAATTAACCAATAATATTAAATTGTGATTTTTCACAAAATTATGTGATTTGCCGAGCCCCAGCTTTTGCTGCAGGCATCCCCATATATGGGTATGAGTGTGCTCAACCTCAATTCTACTATGATACTCTTAAAGTACGATATGGTGAAAAAATCCAGTTATGTTATACAGACACAGACTCACTTCTCGTACAAATCCAAACTGAGGATATCAATGCAGACCTCATAGATATGGCAGACCAACTCATTTCCCCCGTTTTTGATGAGAATCAAAATTGCCTTTTTTGGATTGTGTAACGTTACTCAAGTGCCCAAAAAGGAAATTTTGGCCGGAATTATAAAATTTGGCTGAAATTATAGGAAATGGGATTTGGGATGGGAATGGGAATGGATGGGACTCCCATCCCATCACCCCATTTAAATGGGCGGCAAGTATACAGTATATGTGATCAACAACGTGCATGCGTGTATGTGACAGGGATTCATAGTATGATAAATTCATTTCCTTCCTTTATTTTTTTTTTCTATTAAATATTGTTAAGATATTTAACATTTAATTATTTTTCATTGATCGATTAATTAAAAAATAATTTAATTATATTTTGTAATTCCACGAAACCTGATTAATAAATTGCACTACGCTGTCCCTATAAAAAATTTTTCAGAAAATGGGTACGTGTCTGAATAAAAACTAGAAAAATGATCATTTATTGGAAATTTTTTTATAGGGAGTCATTTAAAAAATTAATTAAAAAAATGACATAATATTATAACCTACCTATAAATGCACAATAAAATAAGTTAAATATTCATCTTACAAATTCCCACACGAAATTTCTCCAAAGGACTTTTTACTGAAGTTATTTTGCCAAAAATTTTAAATCATATTTTTCCAAATATTCAAATGATATTTACGAAAGGGTTTTATTTTTTATCGCTATAGCGATATATCGCCAGTCCATATAATCACGTGATTTACATGGCATGTGACTTATCGTTAATTATACATTTTTTATTATATTAGCAATTATTAGCGAATAAATAATTTACAAGTAAATAATATAACAAGCAAATAATGCATTATTGTAAGCGTTATTATATCTCAATAAAAAAATCAACTAGTTATTAACTGCTTCTTCCTAATAAAATGCATAATAATAATCATAGTATAAATAAAAAGCAAAAGAATCGTAAAAAGGCTATACGAAAATACCTTGCAATTCTTTTGATAATGACCGGCCAACCCACATCTTTTACAATGAAGTTGTGTTATTGATTTGGTTTTATTTGCTTCACAAGAAGACTTAAAGCGTTTTGTGCCTAATGGTCAGCCTTTTCCACGACGTATCTTAGGATTTTGTAACTTTGGTATTGAAGGATCAAAATTTTCCTTATCACCTGTAATGATTTCTTGTTGCAACTCTAATTCATCAGAACCTGATAGATTTGATTCTTCTTCCTCTGCAAAGTTTTGTAATAAATTGATGAGTTGCTCTGATTTAGAATTAGACTGCAATGCCTTGTTCAGAGCCTTCTTATACATTCTGTGTAATTTGCCATATGTAATTTTTTGTTCAAGAATTGTCAATCTTTCTTCATCAATTTCCCTATTATTCCGATTAAATAAACATAAACTTGAAGAATCATTAAAATCATAAGAAAAATGTTGTTGATCATATTGTATAAATTTATCAGCAACCAAGAATGGTTCTTGCGATCCATCTTTGTTTATATTATACCATCGCTTTGGAATAAATTGAATATGAAAAAAGCTTCTTTGGTAGCTAACATTACTTGAAAGTAATGTCTGCAAATTATTCCACTTTGTACGATTGAAAGGCAACGGGTTACACGATCTTTAATTATATGAAAACCTTGACTCTTTGCCCATTCATTCAAAAATTGTTCACATTCTTCCCACGACATAAAGGTCTTTCCTGAATACAAAGATACAGTATCATGTTCATTGAATAATATAGGTTGCCCACTACAAATAACTAAAAAAAGGAAGAGTTAGATACTTATAAACTATAAACAAACTAACCCTAACCTAACCCTAACACTAATTTCTAACCCTAAATCCTAATCCTAAACAAACTAACCCTAACCCTAACCCTAACGCGATCCCAACACCAATATAAAGATAAGCCTAATGCTTATTATTAACGTACCATTATTAGGACTTTCATGTCTACTTTCTTCGTCCATATCATATATTTACCATATAAAAATAATACAAAAGAGTAAAAAAAAAGTTTGTTTATGAGTAAAAGGAGTGAAATAAGCAAGGATGTATTGGTCGTTATTAATGAAAGTTTAAAATTGTTGGTAAATGAAAAAGAGAGAGACAATCGTGAGAAAAAAATAACGATAATCTTTTTTTCATAATCTAATTATAGTTTAAAAAAAGCAAATCACGAGTTTAAATCAATAAATCACATGATCTGTATAGACTGGCGATATGTCGCTATAGCGATAAATGACAATTTTCTTTACGAAAATTTTGTTACTAAAAACATTATTAATAATTTAATATTGGGTATTGCTAAACATCACCGGTGGTGAAATTATGATGTAATGCTGGCCAGTATTTTATTTGATTTTTAATTCTGGCCGAAAGTACATCATAACGTGACGGTGAGCTTTAGCAATTTTCATTAATATATTTTAATAAAAAAAAATAGGGTATTAGATTGAATTTTAATGATAGAATGTCAATCGCTGACATTTTCGGAATGACCGACCTATTTGGTGTCGGTGAATGGATGATTCGGGAAAAGTTTCGGCGTAATGTCCATTCAGAGAAATTTCCATTCGGACCCTTCGGCGAAACATCCTTTTGATGAAATGACTTCTGCGACAAGTCTTCCGGTGAAATGGACTTAGGAGAAACGTATATACATATCAGTATACCGAATTACACCCATTAGAAAATGTGAGACTCTTGAATGATAGAATCAATCTATCTCACATTCCTAATTACCAGTTGGTCGCATCATTATAATTTACAATCCTAATTCAACAACAGATTCAGCAACAAGTCCAGTATCCTATTTATCAGTAAAATGATATTCAACTATAATACTCAATCTAATTCCCAAGTATATTCAAATAATGATACCTACAGCTTCAATTTTAGTAAACGGAACTGTTTCTTACAGTATGCAAGATGGATTACAGAATTCTTCCTAAAAGTTAAGGGCTCTATTAATACATTTTTTGAGTAAAATAAACGAACTAATTCCTCTTTTTTTTTTATTTACTTTTAAGGTTTGAATGATAACTCATTTTTTATTCTTTATATAGCTAAAATATTTAATTTTAAATTATTAAATTAGCTTTAATCTAACATTACTATAAATTTTTTAACATAACCAAACGGTCCTTATCAATATGATTATTTTATATGAGAGTAATATAAAAAATTTAGCATAACCAAACGGTCCTTATCAATATGATTATTTTATATGAAAGTAATATAAAAAATTTAGCTTTTACAAATGAAAGTTCAACTTTAATTAGTTTATTTATAATATTTCTTTTCATTTAAGTTTAGTTCATTTCATTTCATTTTTTTTTTTAATTATTACATTTCATTATTTTTCGATTATTTCTATTTTCTTGGTTTTTTTTTTCATAATTAGGATAAAAATGTTCAATAAAAATTACTCATGATTATTTTATTATGTTTTCAAAATCCAATTAACAAAAAGAATTTTAAATTTTAAATTATTAATTATTCGAAAATATATCTTTCGAGAAAAAATTGCTAATATTTTATTAATAAATAATATTGTTACAATTTTGAGTTGTAAAATTTATTAATTATTGTAAATTTTCTAACGTAAAATTTAATAAATTATTCAAAGTAAATTATCAGAAAATTATTGAAGTACTAAGTAGTAACTATTAATAATTTTTAGTACATGATTTTGAGTTATTATTTTTTTGATTTAAAATTCTTTATTTAATAAATTTATCCGATTATTCATATGGTTGGTTTTACATGAACTTTGTGGTATTGGAAGAAAATCTGATTTCGTTAACGCAAAATTATAAAGAAAAGAAGAGAGGGTGGAAAGTATATAGAAGTTATAAAACCAGTCGTGTGACAAAGCCGAGTTTACACCTATGGGAAAAAATAAATGTAAAACCAGTGTTCTTTCAAACTCCCTATCCGTAAATTGTTAGCTGTTATTTCACTATCCTCTAATCCTCTAATATCTTCTTCAATTATAAGTGCTTCTGTTTTTTCTATTTCTTGAATATGTTTAAGTAGTACATTTCTCTTTTTAGGATACAGGTTGAAAATTATGCGATATGATTTTCGCAATTATTGGCTTGGAGATTAGAATGCCGAAAAGCCTGTGTAATGTGTCTAGTAGCATTGTTTTTAGATCGTATTGATCGTACTGTACTAACCATGAAATTTTTTTTTTAAAAAAAAAAAATTATTTATTTATTAATAATTTATTTACTATGATTACTATGATAAAAAAAAGAGCCATCAAAAAAAATATTTATTACCATAAAATAATATCACAAATAAATAAAATTATTTTTTCTTTTTTTTTTTAATTAAAAAAATAGGTTATCTATTCTTTTACCGTTATCAGTTAAATAAAAAAAAAAAACGGATGGAAGATTTCGGTAAATGTCAATCATTATGTAATCAAATTTTCAGCGTACGGTAACGCAAATTAGTACGTACGTGTGTTTTTTTTGTTCGTACGTCTAGTACGTACGAAAGTTTTAAAATTTTCGTACTAATTTGAGTTTTCGTACAATAGTACGACTTTGCATTTTTGTATTTTTGTGCAACTTCGAATATTGTTTTTAACAAAATATCTTACTAATTATAAAATTAAATGTTAAATTATAAAATTAAAAAAATTCTTTAAAAAAATGATTCTATTTATGAAGAAATGTTGACTTCATTTTTAATTTAATGACGCTCATATAAAAAAAAATATTAGAAAAAAAGGAAAAAAAATTCGAGAAATCATACTGTAATTTAAAAGTTAGTATTAAAATTGAATAGTAATCTGATCGGCACCATTACAAATGGTGCCGATCAGGGATAACATGTGTATGATTCCTTTTTGACATTAAATCCTGTTACTACCGCAGATAAATTGCTGTGCATAATGTAGAGTGTAGACACATTGCAGTATTTGTACTGCCATATTTGTCAATATTTTACTTTTTAGTTATTCTAATTTTTTCTTTATAGATGCTTTAAATGTTTTAGCAACAATTACAATCGATAAATCGATAATAACCTTTGGGTATATCACTAAATAAATTTGGAACATACTACCTGTTTATGTCAAACAAAAGGTCATTTTATAATTTACTTTTACTTTTACTATAATAATTTCATCGCGCAAGCTCTGACATTACTTTTTCTGCGCGTAATGAAAGTTATCGGTTATTGTTTAGCATTTATATTTACAATAACAGGTTCTTTTGTTCATTTTGCGCTTTTGTGGGTCACAAATAAGGTTAATTTAATTCTAAATATCATTAAGAGCATTGATTTACTAGATATTCAAATTATTATAAAAGAAAGTCAAATACTTTCATTCAAAAAAAAAAAACAAATTATTAAAATTCTTTTTATCTTATATTTTTTTTTTACCGCTTTATATACATTAACAATAAAATTATGGATTCTTTATTAACAAATGGCAATGACAAAGAACCTGAAACCTTCAGAATAGAACGTAGTGATGATGGTGCAGATGTATCTGTTTTTTTATCGGATCCTGAACTTACAATGATCGTCCAAAAATATTTGAAAAGTGAAAATGCGTTTGAAATCAACCCCAAGGTTGTATATATTTTATAAACAAAATAACATAAAAATTTTTTTACTAAATTTTTTTTATGTTGAATATTATAGATTCCAGCACATGAATTGTTTTCTATTTTACCTATACTTCAAAATGCTGTTAAAGGCGTTTCTGATTCTAAAGACAACACCCCTAAAAAATTTAATAGGTCAAACAAATTGAAATCATTAGTTGATTGGATCGAAAGTGAATATGAATCAAAAATTTATCAAATCAAAAAAATGACTGATAACGTAAGCTTAAAAATTCATTATATATCTAAAATACTCATTCGTTTTCTTTACAATTTCTCTAATCTCTTCTCTTTAGAATATTATTACATTCAACAATCTATTCTATCTATTTCCAAGAGGTATTTGACTTTTTGCTAATATCATCATAAATAGCATTACATTATATTCATAAATATATTTCATATTTTAAGGTCAACACGTACGCGCTGTTTGGCATCAACGTACAGTTGGGGCAAAAGTAATTCAAGCATCATATTATAGTGATTTTATGGGAAATCATATGAGCGTTAAAGCTGAAGTAATCGATTCAGGTTTGTATAATTTGATTTCTTTTGATGGTATAATTAAAAGATTATGCATCTCAATTAACTTATAACTTTTAGATGGCGTTACGTTTTATAGTGGATTGAAAATATTTGTTATTGATGATTGGGAAGGTGCTTGTGATATCGATGAGCTCCCTGTTGCTCCACTGTCAGATTCAACTCACGATGAACTGGTAGCAAGGGGAAGAAAATTCGTAAAATATGCGATCGGTCCACATTATCTTTATTATACTGGAAGTTTGTTTCGCAAATATATGTGCGGCACCATCCATTTTAAAAGTGAAGGCCGCCTTATGGTTGATACAGTCTCATTTTTTAAGATCAATCCGGGTTATGGCATGGATACCAGAAAAAAAGTTGACCGAAAATCGGTTAAAGAGGAAGAACTTTTCATGTGTGCACCTTCAGTTTATGGATTTAGTTTTGCGTCAAAGAAATGGGGTCAAATATATATTGATGAATTAAGCGGTATTTTATATATATGTTCTTTCTTTAAAAAAAAAAAAATTTATGTTTTATGTTTTGTAGTTTGTATCTTAACGATTTCCCAAAATTTTAGATATAACATTTGATGATGACGCATTCGATCAACTTGTTATGGACCCAATCAAAAAAGAACTGATTTCTAGTCTTGTCAAATCTGATCATAAAGGATTGGATATTATCAGCGGTAAAGGTGGCGGTTGTATCTTTTTGTTACACGGACCCCCTGGAGGTGTGTAAATTTAAGCTATTATGCGGCTATGAAATGATTACATAAATTTAACCATGATATTTTTAATAGTTGGCAAAACATTAACTGCTGAAGCAATTTCCGAATCCCTTCATCGCCCGTTACATTCCGTTAGTGTTGGAGAATTAGGAGCAACTGCAACTGAATTAGAAAAGAAATTAAACGAAATTCTTGATGTGGCAAATATTTGGAATGCTGTCATTTTAATTGATGAAGGTAAATATGTTATTATATGATGTAATTTTCGATCAGTTTTTTTAACTAATTATTTCATGTCATTTATTAACTTTAGCTGATATCTTTCTTGAACGTCGAAGTGATCATGATGCTAAACGTAATGCTCTTGTTAGTATATTTTTAAGGTTACTTGAATACCATCAAGGGATTTTGTTCTTGACAACAAATCGAGGTAAGGAATATTTGTAAGATATTTTTTTTTTCTGAAATGTTATCGGTTATTAAATTTTTATTTTTCTTTTAAAGTAAAATGTTTTGACGCCGCTTTCCAATCTCGAATTTCGATCGCCTTGAAATATGACGAATTAGATTCTGATGGTATGATAAATTTTTACTACGAAATAAAATACTACTCCAAACTAATCATGATCTTTTATATACGTAGCACGTGAAAAAATATGGCGTACATTCTTAGATCGCGTTGAAGGAAAAGGTAGAAGTAAAGTGAATATTGACAATCTGAAAGAACGACCTCTAAATGGAAGAGAGATCAAAACAGCTATAAGATTAGCGAAGGTAAATATAACTATTATACAAATGCGTGATTTTGCTCTAGGTAACTAATACATATATTTTGTTTAATTAGGCATTAGCTATGAAAAATAATCCGGATGCAATGATTACTACAGAGCAATTAGAAACAATTCTTGACATTTCAAAATCTTTCAAAGAAGAGATAACAGGAAATATTCCCGAACCAGAGGAATTGGATTAATCAATATATATAGAGTGGTTTAGTCCAAAAAACCGCAATTTGTTATTTGAATATTATAAAATCATTAAGATATTTATAGGAAAATTATAAATTATTATTTTAATTTAACTTATTCAAGAAAATTTTGCAATATCCTAGTTTGAATTTTTTAAGCTTGACGATCAAAAATGACATTGACGTATAATTGTAAATCGGCTTGTCTTTGATAGCAAGCATATTCCTGAATTTGCTTTAAAATAAACATCTAACTGATGAATCTAATTAATAATTATAAAGTATTATACTAAATTTAAATAATCATTAATTAAAAACGAACAAATAATTATTTTAAGTTAAATACTTATTATGTCTAATGACTGATATCATAAAAAAAAGTACCAATCAAAATTAATTACGTGCCTCCCAAAGTTGAGTTCTCTTGTTGTCTATTATATCTGTTAGTTTAATTAACGCTTCAGCGATTCTGCAGCGCTGTTGTATGTATCCTGAATCATTTTCTGTTAAATCGTTTATCATTTCATCTAAAGCTTTGATTTTTGGTTCTATGATATAATTAACTTCGGATTGAACTTTATCAAGTTCTTCTATATCATATTTCGTAAAATATGTTGGAATATTCAAAATTCTTGCTTTAAGTTGATCAATGGAGCGTGAAATTTCTTGGCCTTCCTTTAAGGTATCCAGGCTCGTTCTTAAATGTGCTAATAAATTTTGAAGTCTATACCAACGTTCTACCACACAATTTGTTTGTATTCTCATAAAATCAATTTTAGGATTTGTCTCTTGCGGTTCGTTATCAGCTCCCGATATGAGAATTTTGTGATTTTGATTTTTGAATTGATGAATGACATTTTGAAATTTGGTGATCTTTTCTTCTAAAGCTTCCTGATCGATTGAATATTTTGATATTATTGCAAGATTACAAGAATTTATCCAATTATTGATTTCATGGGCTGTTTTAGCATGATTATGAACCGCCCTTAAAAGTTCAATTTCATCATGTTCCAAAGCAACGGCATCGGAAAATTGTTTTAAAGTTGATGTAATTTTGCTAAAAATGCACATTATATGATTCTTTTTTGTTTCGGCAAGTTTTAATTCAACAAGTTTATCTACTTCTTTTTTTAAACAGACATTTACTCGTTGATAATACCTATTTAACTTTTCTTCACTTTTTGAATATTTATTAATAGCATTTTCTATAATTATTCCAAGAGCATCAACATGAAGAGCATAATATCTACTATTCTTAAGATCATCATGTCTTGATTTTATCATAACGGTTTCTTCATAACAATTTTCTAATATGCGATTAGCATCTGCATAAAAAGCTGCTAATAATGAAGCATTGTATGTTGTGGTAAGAGCATTATGAAACGTAGATAATAATTTATCAAGCTGTTTAGTTGATTTGTTATAATGATGCTCAAAATTTTCATGATTCTTTAAATCAATAAAGTAATCAGGATCATAAATTATTTGACTCGCCCTAGATTTAGCTTCATCAAGCATTAATTTAGCTATATTAATTTTATCGTCTAATTCTTTTACTTCCCCTTCTAAATTATCATAACCTATGATACTACTTAATCCGTTAATTCGATCTTCCAGTTCACTAAGACTATCTTCAATATTATATATGACATCATGTTGTCGGTACCAATTCTGAATTTTTTCAATAAAGTCCTTAAATTCTCCTGTAATTAAATCTAGATTGTCCCATGATTGATCAAGATTTGATTTCCGGTTTGGTATTTCTTCTAGTTCGGATATTTCTTCCTTTAATGATATATCATTAAATTTTTCTCTTGTACTTTCTAATTGATCTATACGATTAGGTAATTCTTTTGTGAACTGTTCATATAATAACGTTAATTCACTAAAACTATTTTTATCAAGAGCTTTAGAATCTCCGACCAAGATACCATGTTTAGGTTTAGCATCTGCGAATATTTTGATAGAGTCATCGATCCAACCTTGCAAGTCATTAACATCGCTCACATAAATATCAATTCGTGATAATCGGTATGCATCAGCTTCATTAATCTTATTGTTCATCAATCTCTTTAGATTTTCAATAACACCGTCAACTTTTTTCAAAAGTCCTTCAAGTTCCTTTGATTTTCTATCGTTAAAAGCGCAAAAATTTTCTTTGTTCAAATTCTTTTGGATAAGTTTTGTTAAAGAGAAAAGTTCTCCTTGTTCAAAATGATTTAATTTAATTCGCCAATTCTCCATATCATTATAAGTAACGTCTTTGACCAAAGCATTCGATATTTTGTTAGATATATCATTAACATCATTTAAAACTTCATTAACCTTTTTCTTAAAATCAATAGCTTGAAGAGTTTGTTCCAAATCGGATTTTACTTTATGTAATCCTTCCCATAATGAGTTAGTCTCTCGCTGTTTAACATGGATAAGTTCAGGATCAGCCTTGATATCTTCATTGTCATCGCAATCTTGTTCAATTTCATTTATCACTTCCCCGATTAATTTATTTGCTAATGTTTTGGCAAAACCAAAGGCATTGTTACTGGCAACTTCTACAGCTTCAAATTCTTCGATAAGATCGTAAATGTTAGCTTTCGATAATTCTTCTAAATCTACTTCGTTAAGATTACCTTTCAAAATATCCAATTTAGGTTGAATCCACGAAGTGATGCAATCAACATAATTTACAAAAAATTCGGCCATCTTCTTACAACTCAATACATCTTGATTTGTTTCTAAAAGGTCGCTCAAAGATTTGAATGGGCCACTTATGAGGTCATCGTTGATTTCTGCAAATCCATTATGTGTTAAGCAGGCAATATTATTACGTAAAGCTTGTACTTTACTTGCGACTTCGTTGCAAACGTAGATTGTGTTTTTTTCTTCACCAAGCGAACATGGCTCGTTTGATAAGAGAATCTAAATAATTTTGAAAAAAATGTAAAAGATTCAAAAAGAATTCGAAAGTACAGCACATTAAAAAAAAAATTAATTCAACTGATAATTACTTCGGTTTCAATTTCTTCATCATAACATCCAAGTTTAAATTGAAAATTCAAATTTCCATTTTTATAATCTTTCTTTTCATCTTTTTCGGTATCCTTTTCATAATAATGAATCAAATTATATTGCACAACTTTACTTCCATTTTCTGTTGGTTTATAACGTTTTTCTAAATTCTTCTCGGTATCATTATCTTTTTCAAAATTATTTTGAAGTATATCTTCCTTATAAGTTTTAAATGTTGCTTCTTTCCGACAATATTCAAGCCTAAATTGGTTTGCTAGATATTCGTCATCAGCCGACTTGTTTTGACATTCAAAAGCTTTAATTTTATTTTTTTCTCCTTCATCAGAGAGATGATTATTATTTAAACTCATCATATTTAATTGAGTGGATCTTTTAATTTGTGAACTTAAATCATCCTTGGGCTTAATCTTTTGAATAATATTTGAATATACCGGTATTTCTAAATCTCTATTTAAATCTTCTATACTTACTTTGCTTGATTTTAAATCTGACTTATCTTTTACACACAAATATTTATTATTATCGCTATTATTATTAATATCACTTTTTACAGGGCAATAAATTTTTTTAAGAGTTGAAGCAACTTCTTTTATCGTTGGACGTTCCCCTGGTTCGTATTTCCAGCATTCTATTTAAATAAAAGTAATTTAATTGCCAGCGTGTTTAGTATATATAAATAGTTAGGGGTACATATATTTATGTATATATTACCTTTATATAAATTACTATATTCAGGAGATGTACCACCAATAGTTTTCTCTCTTTTCCCATTTACGATAGCCAAAGCTAATGTTATATCATATTTTGAGTCTTCATTATAAAATGGTTTATGTCCGCTGGAAATTTGCCACATAAGAATTCCAATACTATATACATCGGATTTCTTATTTAATTTATATCTTTTACAATTATCGTTATTATTGGGATTGTTGTTAAAAATTTTCGGATCTACATAAGGTATTATACCAAATATTCTTGCGCTACTTGACGCTTCGGCAATTTTTCTTGATAAACCAAAGTCAGCTAGCTTGATGTTTTTTCTATGTACAAGAATATTGTCTGCATGCTAATATAATAAAAATAAAAAATAAAAAATAATTAGAAATTTTTTCAAAAATTGTTAAGAAAATAAAATAAGAATTCTATTTTTTACCAAATCACGATGAATAATTCCTTCATCATGTATACATGTTACTGCGCTTGCCAATTGTTGTGCCAACTCATATTTGTGAGTCCAATTAAGTTCATCAAAATTTTCCTTCAAATAATTATTTAGTGTGCCACTATCAGCATATTCCAAAACTAACATATATTTTTTCATTTGATGTATTGCATCTGAAAATGAAAGAATGAAAAAAAGAAAAAAAAAAATTTTTTTTAAAATATATATAAATACTTTGATTCAAATTCTTTTAACGTTTCCGGCCGTTTCCTATTCATTTTATAAATTGCCCCCTAAAAATTCTGATTTTCCGAAACTTTCCGAAACTTTATTAAACTCCTTTAAACCGTCCAAACAATTAAGTTGGAAGGCCTAAATAAAAAGTTGATATTATTTGACATTATTATTCTTACCGGCTTCATATTTTGTAATTCCACGAAATTGTAAAATATTTTCGTGATAATCAACGTCTCGTTGTAGCCTTAGCTGCTCCATATAAAATACATTCAATATATTTATTATTTTTTTTAAAAAAAATAATGCTTCAAATTCTAATATTACCTCATTAACAACTTCTTTAAGAGTTATTTTATCATTATTAAAAGATTTCAGAGCTAGAGTAGTATCACTTTTCCAAGTAGCACGAACCACGTTTCCGAAGGAACCTCTTCCTATTGGTTGTAAACTTTTAAACTCTTTATAATCATAATATTTGAAATATCCTTCTTCGATTGATTTTTCCAACCAATAAATACTATCACAACTTGAGTCTTTATATTCGATATCGGTTAACATTATTATTACTGTTGTTGTTTTTATGATTATGATTATGATTAATAAAATTAAAAAGAACAATCGAATTTTTACAAATGAAATATTTTTAAATGATTTTCATTGATCGGCAAAACTTGGATACAATGGTTGATGAAATTGGAATTTTGATAAAAGTGTAATATGCACGTGCGTATGTCAATTAAAATGTGTTCAGTACAACTTCATTAGCAAAATTTCCAATTGTTTAGTCGGTAACACTGATTCTGATTAACTCAAGCTGACGTATGCTTATTCGTTCGTTGTACTACAAAACTACCAAAATTCCGCAGTTGTATATGAAAATGAGAATTTTAGCGAATGAAATCACAATTTAAAGATAATTATTATCATAAAAATAATGTTAATGATTAAATTATTTATTGTTGTATGTAAAAATTTATTTTACGTCTGCAAGAAGATATTATTATAGATTCTTCGTGATCCGATAACTTCCTCAAACGGGCATTTTAATGTCACTTTCCATTTTTTATGATCATCGTCAAAATTACTCAGGCAAAAGGAAATTACATTCGATGTACTGTACACGTAAAAATACAGGCTTCGTGAAACGCGTGTAATAAATTTACTGTACGTTAAGCAGATATTATTATTAATAATAATAAACGATAAATTGTATGAGAGAGAAACAAAGAAATTCGTGATAGTCTAAAGGAATTTGGTAAAAACAAGTAACGGGAAAAGACGGTTACATTATTTGATTATTTTATAAATGTATAATTAAATTAAAAAAGTCCTTTTTTTTTAGATTAATTGACTTCAAAAATTAAGTAATGTAATGTTCTATAATACTTACGCCACAATCTTTCCAAAATAGTTTGTACAATTTGATTAGTAAAAGTTGTAGCGAGACAATAATTAATTGATAATTTTTCATTTTGTCATGTCCTTTATTGAATTTATTATTCTAAATTTATTTCTATTGTTATATTATCAGATATATATATATTAACATGAAATTTGGAAAAAATTAACGAAAAGACTTCAAGGTTATTGAAGTTTAAAATGTCAATTTTTGATAAATTAATAAAAATATGATACTTTACATATTTTCTAATCTCTAATCACAATATAATACAGTCAAACTCCGATATAACGATATGTGAAAAATATCGATATTTATATGTTCTCTCACATATACAATGGGAAGTAAAATTTTATCGTTGTATCAAGTTTTTTAATATATATCGGGTATATCGAATATTAGTATATCGAGGTCTGAATATAAAGAACAATCGTTAATAAAATAATTTTTTCTTAAATGTATCTTCTAATCAAAGAAAGTAGTCAAGTGAAAATGAAGAATTTATGTTTTCAAGATGATTGTTAATATTATTATCATACAAGCGTAACTAAATCATTCATTTTTTTTTCGATTTCGCAATTTACATAATTAGGATGATGACATTGCCCTATAAAAAAAGAAAATTCGGAATTTGTCCTGAAAAGTATGGAAAATGTCCAGAAATTTTCCGTACTTTTCAGGACAAATTCCGAATTTTCTTTTTTTATAGGGTTGTTAATATAATGAAAAATTGTGGTAACCGAAAAAAAGAAAATACCAGAATATTTTTTTAATTGGTATACTAGCAGTAGCCCGTTGCTTCGCATCGGATTGTATAAATTGATTGATCATCATTTTTGATCTCACGTTTATCAAATTTAGATCTTTGCTAAAGAATTTATAACGTGGGGGGGGGTCATTTTAATTTTGGGAGAAAATTGCGAAGGTATAATTCCGGCCAGAATTATACAAATTTCCTTTTCCTGCACATTAGTAATTAGAATGAATTTGCCGATCAAGTGGTAAGCATAGATCAGGCGCAAACACATTAATAGATCATATTAAATGTTACACAATATTAGTAATTAATATTGTATGTCTATAAGAAAACGTTGGACAATTCAAAGATTATTTATATAGGTTAATCTAAACGTTAGTCACACAAACACAATTTTTTTAATTATATAGATAGATTAGTCTCTAAATTGTTATTATTACTTATAATTACAATTAAATGGCTAGAGAAAATAGCTTTTAATAACGCTTTATACACTAGAATATATTATGTACGGTATATATAGTTATAAATGTTATATATATATTTATTTATTTATTTAATGTTATAATTGATGGCATCTACGATTAAATTAGTCATATATCTAAATCCCTAGGTTAAATATGAAGATTGTTATATCAGATAATTTTTTTAATTCAGCACTTCCGATATTCCTATATTGGCTAATAGCTAGCTAAAAAAATAAACTGATTGAAACTTTTTTATTGCTCAATTTTTTACGAAATTTTGTTTTTAAGTTATTTTTTTTTTATTTTTCATACAACATGGATGATATTGACTATAGAGACATAGTATAAGAATCTTAATCTGAGTCATCAAGACAACAATCTTCTTTTTATTAAAAGAAATTCAAAGTATTTAAGTTGCTAGCACTAATAAGTAAATAAATATCATAATTAAGTACTTGAAATGTTATCTATAAAGTCTTTTTAGAGAAAATAGGTTAAGAACAACCAATCGTTTTCGTTATTTCAATTTTATCATTTTTACTAGTATTNATTATCATACAAGCGTAACTAAATCATTCATTTTTTTTTCGATTTCGCAATTTACATAATTAGGATGATGACATTGCCCTATAAAAAAAGAAAATACCAGAATATTTTTTTAATTGGTATACTAGCAGTAGCCCGTTGCTTCGCATCGGATTGTATAAATTGATTGATCATCATTTTTGATCTCACGTTTATCAAATTTAGATCTTTGCTAAAGAATTTATAACGTGGGGGGGGGTCATTTTAATTTTGGGAGAAAATTGCGAAGGTATAATTCCGGCCAGAATTATACAAATTTCCTTTTCCTGCACATTAGTAATTAGAATGAATTTGCCGATCAAGTGGTCTTAACTATTAAGAATAGATCAGGCGAAAACACATTAATAGATCATATTAAATGTTACACAATATTAGTAATTAATATTGTATGTCTATAAGAAAACGTTGGACAATTCAAAGATTATTTATATAGGTTAATCTAAACGTTAGTCACACAAACACAATTTTTTTAATTATATAGATAGATTAGTCTCTAAATTGTTATTATTACTTATAATTACAATTAAATGGCTAGAGAAAATAGCTTTTAATAACGCTTTATACACTAGAATATATTATGTACGGTATATATAGTTATAAATGTTATATATATATTTATTTATTTATTTAATGTTATAATTGATGGCATCTACGATTAAATTAGTCATATATCTAAATCCCTAGGTTAAATATGAAGATTGTTATATCAGATAATTTTTTTAATTCAGCACTTCCGATATTCCTATATTGGCTAATAGCTAGCTAAAAAAATAAACTGATTGAAACTTTTTTATTGCTCAATTTTTTACGAAATTTTGTTTTTAAGTTATTTTTTTTTTATTTTTCATACAACATGGATGATATTGACTATAGAGACATAGTATAAGAATCTTAATCTGAGTCATCAAGACAACAATCTTCTTTTTATTAAAAGAAATTCAAAGTATTTAAGTTGCTAGCACTAATAAGTAAATAAATATCATAATTAAGTACTTGAAATGTTATCTATAAAGTCTTTTTAGAGAAAATAGGTTAAGAACAACCAATCGTTTTCGTTATTTCAATTTTATCATTTTTACTAGTATTTATATTTACATTAAATTATGTGTTTACACTTTACAATTTATCAAATATTTATAAATAAAGTTAAAAATGTGTTTTTATCATAAATGATGCATAATTTTAAGAGTAAAATTGCGATAGATTTATCAAATATTCAAATGGGCAAAATAACGCGTTAAACGTAAAACTTATATCTTTAACCGATTATTATCCGGTTAAACGTTCCGATTAACCGGTTTTTAACCGGGTAAGGTTTTTTTGGACGGTTCCAATCCCTATTTACTAGTTCAATTTGCTTCAAGACTGATGCTTAACCATATATAAAAAGGACTAACAAAAAGCAAATTTTTATCTTGTGAATACATTAAAAATTATGATTTAGTATTTGTATGGTCGTTTTTGAATTATCAGCACATTTGATTTTATGCGTTGATTATGTGATTTTTTATATTGCATAAGAGTTACTTGGCATTGTTACTGTATGAAAAAATTATGCAAATTAAAGGATATTATTAAATGAAGTTATAATTAAGATTTTTTAGTATTATTTTATTGAGCCTGTGGTTTAAACTTGATACTGAACCAAATGAACCACTAAAATTGAAATCTCCCAGTTTTATATTTAGTATATTTTATCTATCCATGAAAAGTTTTTTATTTAAATAATTCAACTATATGTCTTTCAATTCCTATTACAAATTTCCAAATTATGCTGTGCCAACTTATTTCCATTTTCTGCAGATTTTCTATACCAATAGGTAGCTTTTTCTAGATCTTTTTTTGTACCTTTACCATTTTCATACAAAAATCCAAGGTTATTTTGTGCAAAAATATTCCCTTTTTCGGCTGCTAATTTATATAATTGAAATGCTCTTGTTTCGTTAACTTTATTTCCAGTCCCAAAATTATAAAGACATCCAAGTTCATACTGCATATCTTGATCTGCAGCTATTTTATATTCAAAATCGTTTTCAATTTCAATTCCTCTATAATAAAAATACAGTGTAAGCGCATCGAAATGGCCTTTTTCTGCCGCTATTTTACATAATTCAAGTGCTTTTACTTCATTAACTGTAGTTCCAATTCCATTATAATAACAATATCCAAGTTGATAGTGAGCATCTAAATGTCCTTGATCTGCTGCTATTTTATATAAGCCAAATGCTTTTGTTCTATTAGCTGTAGTTCCAATTCCATTATAATAACAATATCCGAGTTGATAGTGAGCATCTAAATGTCCTTGATCTGCTGCTATTTTATATAAGCCAAATGCTTTTGTTCTATTAGCTGTAGTTCCAATTCCATTATAATAACAATATCCGAGTTGATAGTGAGCATCTAAATGTCCTTGATCTGCTGCTATTTTATATAAGCCAAATGCTTTTGTTCTATTAGCTTCAGTTCCAATTCCTTTATCATAACAATATCCAAGTTGATATTGAGCATCTAAATGTCCTTGATCTGCTGCTATTTTATATAAGTTAAATGCTTTTGTTCTATTAACTTCAGTTCCAATTCCTTTATCATAACAATGTCCAAGTTGATATTGAGCATCTAAATGGTTTTTTTCAGCTAATATTTTATATAATTCAAATGCTTTTATTTCATTAACTTCAGTTCCAATTCCTTTATCATAACAATATCCAAGTTGATATTGCGCATCTGCTGCAATTTTATACAATTCAAATGCTTTTATTTCATTAGCTTCAGTTCCAATTCCTTTATCATAACAATATCCAAGTTGATATTGAGCATCTAAGTGGCCTTTTTCTACTGCTATTTTATATAATTCAAATGCTTTTATTTCATCAACTTCAGTTCCAATTCCAAAATTGTAACAATATCCAAGTTTAAATTGAGCACCTAAAAGACCTTGTTCAGCTGATTTTTGATATAGTTTAAAAGCTTTTCTATTGTTTTTTTTCACACCTTTACCATTTTCATAACAACTACCCAAATCAAATTGTGCAATTTTATAACCACCTTCTGCTGCCTTTTGAAAATAATAATATGCTTTTTTATAATTTTGTTTTGTCCCAATACCATTATAATTATTAATTCCAATTTTTCTTAATCCCTCAAAATACATTATTTTATGAATTTTAATTTCTATACTTCTATTTTTTTTAGTGTTAGTTTTCTTATTATAGTTTTGTTCAAGAATACATTTTGCAATAATACTTCCATTATTTGCTGCTTTTTTGTACCAATTAAAAGCTTGAACTTTATCAATTTCTATTCCAACTCCATAATAATAACAATTTCCAAGTTGATATTGAGCATCTATGATTTCTTTTTCAGCTAATATTTTGTAATATTCAAATGCTTTAGATTCATATTTTTCTGTTCCTTTTCCTAATCTGTAACAATTTGCAAGATAAAATTTTGCAGATGTATTTCCATTATTAGCCGCTTTTTGATACCATTCAATGAATTTATTTTCACTACTTTCAGTTCCAATATTAAATTCATAACAATATCCCAAATAAAATTGTCCAACAATACTATTATTATTTTCTGCAGCTATTTGATACCAATTGAATGCTAAATTATTATTCTTTTCAGTTCCATATCCATCATTATAACATTTAGCAAGATAAACTTGTGCTATTGGATAGTCATTTTTTGCTGCTTTTGAAAATAATTCGAATGCTTTACTGTCATTTTCTTCTATTCCAATCCCATAATAATAAAATAATCCCAAAAGCCAAATATAAGGTGATTTATCTTGATTTTTTGTAAGCCAATTAATAAGATTATTTGTAATTTGATTAAATCGTAATGTTTTTTGATCAATTAGCTGTTGAATTTGATCAAAAGTATAACCTTTATCATGTTTTTTAATAATAATTTTAATTAATTTATCAACGATTAAATTACTAATATTGTTGAACGTTGATTCAAGTGAATCCTTCGATGAATTTGTGAGAAATGATACATTTGACTGATTATTTTTAGGTTCTATTATCTCTGATTGGATAGTTGCTTGATCTTGTAAACTGTCAAGAATATTTTGTACATAATCATTTATGTCTAAACCATCATTTATATCTGGATCATCATTTATATCTGAATCATCATTTATATCTGGATCATCATTTATACTGGAATTATCAACTATATCTAAGAGTTCTTGTAATAGTCTATCCTCATAATCATAAATTTCAAGATCTTGGTCAGGAAGCATTAATTTAAGAAATAAAACAACTTTTTGCATATTTGGACGCTCGTCTGGCTCATATTTCCAGCATTCTAATTATTAAAATAAATTAATATAATAAATAAATTTATTTTTTCAATGAAAACAATAGTATTTTTCTACCTGTATATAAATTACTATATTCAATAGGAGTATTATCAATAATTTCTTCCCGTTTACCATTTACTATGGACAAGGATAAACTTACATCATGATTACAATTAGAAAATGGTTTTTTTCCGCTTGAAATTTGCCACATTAAAACTCCAATACTATACACATCAGATTTTTTGTTTAATTCGTAATCTTGATCATTTAACTTTCTTGGGTCAACAAAAGGTATTAAACCAAACACTTTTGATGCATTATTGCTTGATGTTTTAGCAATTTTTCTTGATAATCCAAAGTCTGCCAACTTTATCTTTTTCTGATGCATGAGTACATTATCAGCATGCTATGATAGTACAAAAAATTTTATTCAGCATATTTTTTACGAAAAATGTTATATAGATATGGTTAAAAAAAATAGACTATTACCAAGTCACGATGAATAATATCATGTTCATGTAAAAATGATATTGCACTTGCTAGCTGAAATGATAATTGATATTTTTCGTTCCAATCAAGTTTATTAAAATGCAATTTTAAGTAAATATTTAGTGTACCGCTATCTGCATACTCCAAAACTAATGAATATTTTTTTTCTGAATACAACATGAAAGAAAATAAACAATTAACATATATCTTACTTGAAACACATAATTTATGTTATTATAACGTACCATTTTCTATTTTTGTGATACCATAAAACCGTAAAATATTTTCATTAGCAATTAATTCTTTCTGTAATTTTATCTACAAAAGAAATAAATTTTAGTTTAATAAAATTGAGAGTTAACATTACGTTATTAGTATAGATTACATGCCTCATTAACAACTTCTTTAAGCGTTATTTTATCATTATTAAAAGTTTTTAAAGCGAAAAATCCATCAGTATTTTTCCAATTAGCACGAGATACACTTCCATATAAGCCACTTCCTAACGGTTTTAGATTTTTAAATTCTGAATAAGCGTAATAGTTTATGTATTCATCGGCAATTGATTTTTCTAACCAATCAATGTAGATATTTGATTCTTTAAGGTCTGTTTCTTTCGTCTCTATTGACATTCTTGAAAATAATAATTTAGTCAATTTTAACAGTGTTTTATATTTATTGAAAATGAATGTGCGACTATCGCGTACTACTTAAAATAATACGTTTATGTATGATTTGTATGATTTTAGGTACGGCTATCACTAAACTACTGCAGCAACATATGATTGAGATTATCACCTTACACAGTGTGTCATATGACCTATATTTTGTGTGCCGTCGCAATCACGTGACTGAAAGATTGTGTTACTTATTTGTCAAAGCCGTAACCACAAAAATTACTGACACGTGATCAAAATTTGCAGATCATTTCCAAAAATAGATGATAAAAATTCACCAAAATAAAATCAAATCCTATACACATTTTTGCTTTTTCTGATACCAATTTCTTAATAAAGTCAACTTTTACAAATTTCAATATAGAAATTAAAAATGGTATTCATAACCTCTCTTTTAACTATAATCAAACTTGAAGAGAAGGCAAGCATTCCTATATAAACAATAATTTTAAAAGCTGCTCTAGCCATTTTAGTTATGATCAGCAAAATTGATCGCGTGTCAACATTTTCATCAATTCTAACCCATACTAATTAAATAGTTTTCGAGAATTGAAAACTCTTTCCACTTTTTTTTTAAAATTTATTACAATGGCGCAGTAAAATTTTTTTATAAACTTTCAAGTTATTATAACACCCCTTAAAACTCAACACAAGTGCGGATATTTTATCCCTTTTATCTTCACTCTATACCTAAAAGTATATACGTATGGTAAAGGTTTCGACCTTTAAAAGAAATATACTGAAGGTGAAGTTTTTTTTTTCAACGATATCTTATTCTAACTTCTTATATTACACCCTATATTATAAAAAAGAGTTTACCACTTTACTGCGACATATACATCATATTATTCATACAAATTTTATATTTTACTTTTATTATAACATTTTACTTTATTTTATTTGATATTACCCCGGAAAAAATAAAAAATTCCACGTGACTAAACCAATTAGATCATTACCCCAGTAACACCACCAAAATTTTCACCCCACGTGTTTTTTGTCGCGTCCAAATTTTGATTGGTTCGTTGATTGTTTTGTGTCGTGTGGCAACATTTATCAGAAAAAACAGACAACGAAAGAAAAAAAATAAACCCATATTTTCTTTAAAATATTAAATAATTTTATTGTTTTATTATAAGAACATTTAAAAAATGACTCTTTTACACTATTAAATTTAATAAATAAATAAACAACACTTTTTTAACGAAAATAACTTCAAATATTAAACCTATTGTAAAAAAATACTAATTATCCATAAATATTCAGGATATCTTGACAAAAATTAATATTTGAGCATTTCTATGCCTGTGAATAACTTTGTTTAAGCTTCTGACACCTATTTAATTTGACTAAAGTACTAAAATTATGCTATAAAATTGAAAAACAATGTAAAACAAGTTAATTTCATTAAAATAATCTGTTTATTCACAAATATCTCAGTGACTTTAATAAATAAAGGTTTACATACTTGAAGAGAGAGAATTTTGTTGTAACGAATAAACAAAATAAATTGGTAAATCTGATCGCACACCTTCATCTAACAACAAAATTTGGCACGCCAATCGGGTATAGATGGCGTTCCAAATGGAATAATAACGTCTTTCCAAATCGGCTCGGTATTAGCTATACCGTTTCTTGGATATGATAAGAAAGTCATCGATCAAGGCTCACGTTATTTGTATAAAAAAAATTCCTTAATAATTTCAAACGATCACCACAATTAAAACCACGTACAAAAAAAAAACAAGACGAGCGCTTCGAACGACATTGTAGAAGAGTCTTCAAACTCAACGCTCAAACGTCGAGTTCGTCGTTAGACGATAGAATCTTTCAAGCTCGTAAATACCGTTTCTTATTTTTAGAATCGCAATATATTGCTAAACCCATTCATCATTTAAAATATTTAGGACCTATAGCGTCCTAAAACAAACAAATTCGTCATATTCTTTTAAAACACCCATGTACGCGCTTAGGTTAGGCCCACGCGATATTACCTCTAAATAATGAATTTAAAGACTGCACATTTTCTCAACGTAGACCATTCCCACACTCTCATGTTAATGACCTTGGATTTACGATTAATCCCCTCGGCATCAAATTCCGCTACTACACCTACACTGAATAGATCATCCGTAGTTTCATATGCGGACGCTAACGCTCTTGGACTCACGTAAGAAGAACGACACGCCCCTACACAAACTATGTTAGCTAAACGACGTGAAGATGATATGGCTAAAGCCCGAATCCTTGCAACATTATTACAATCAAAAAGAACAAGCGAAAAGATTGATCACGTCTTGAACGAGAATTTAGAATTTTTACAAGAAATTACAAACAAATTTTCAATGAAGAAAATTTTAATGATCGTCCCTCCACCATACAGCAAGATGACAAGTTCCGATACTTCCGACGAAACTCGTGAATTCGAATATTGTCCTAGGGATTGGAACCGGTTAATGTTAACCGGTTAATTAACCGGTTAAAGGATTTTGAAAATCGGTTAACCGGTTAAAACTATATTTACCATAATTCTAGTCAGATTTATATAATGCGGCCCAGAGACATGTAAATTGCGGCCACGTGTTCCTAAACTTAAAGTTTTAATGCCGAATTTTTTTCTATTTATTTATAATAATTTTAGTGATACATAGTCTTCCTATAACTAAATATGCAAGTAAAATCAAAAATTGGTACAATTTGCAGTAAAAAAAGTTTTTAAAATATTTTTGATATTAACCGGTTATTAACCGGTTAAGACCCTTGGTTAACCGGTTTTTAACCGGTTAAGGTTTTTTTGGACGGTTCCAATCCCTATATTGTCCTAACAAAAGAACAGTTAATATCAATCATAACCTCAACAAACATAGAAACAACGCGTTCATCAAAAAAAAATCTGCGCCACGTCTGATCTTTCGAATACGATTGATAAGATGGTTCATATTGACATAGATTGGTTTCCCGACCTATACAATTCTGACAATTACACTTTCATACACCACTCACACTTTACGATAACAGAAAACGTCGTCCATCTTTTGATGATACATTTATGGACTCTACAACTGCTGGACCTTCATCTAAACATTAGTTTACCTTTTTGCACTAAACAACTTTTAAAAATAGTTTGAATCATTTTACCTCTTACAGTATTTACAGGTAACGTCTCCGGGCGAAGGAAAAATACGGATCTGGCGGTCTTCGGTCTTGATGGTCTTTGGTCACTGGATTGTTTTATTTTAAAATTTGTTTAAATGGCGTAGGCCTATTTTCTCAAATAGTTCCGAACAAAGGGTGTGGTCCTATCTGGATGGGATGAAAGTTAGAGATCTACACATATAGACAGTTCAATTAAGCACTTCGGTGCTAAATACGTGTTATTTGTAATAGACTTTAATTACCACTCTTTTAGAAATAAATAAATAAATAAATAAATTAATTAAATAGTTTTCCTTATATTATTTATAAATATTTTTGCATTTTACAGAAATTTGCTTTAAGAATATGCCTTTTTAAAATCCTTTTAAAAGTAGAAACAAATGCATAATTTTAACAGTAAAAATATATGTAATTTTACATAAGGAAAAAAGTTTATCTAAGATTATAATAGTGGTTATTCAGATATTTTTTTTTTGTAAAATGCAAAAAATGACTTTTTTATATATTGATCATTTTATTGATGAAAATTTTTGCTATTCACTAAACTTTCTTCAAAAAGAAAATGTTCGTAAAATAAATTAACACATTAGGCGATGCATTCATATTCAAAAAAATTTTTTTTATATTAATATAATTGGCCAATAAAGATAGTTTATATTTATAATATCATGGGATAATCGCATGTATTACGGAAAGGACAAATTTATCCTGAACCGGGGGTCCAGGTTCTTTATCTTAAACCTCCTATATAAATAAGTATTTTCAGAGTAATCGTTACGACGTTACGTGATTAATACAGTTGCGGTCTAAGATAAGAACGGTCTATTTTAAGGACACTCTTACAGAAACTGAATACATGTACAATACCTTAAATTGACTAAATCGCATGCACATTTCTTTAAAGAAAATTTCTTATTCTGACGAAAAAAAAAAAAAATGATCGCAGTATAAAATTTTTAACATATAAAATTATTGATCAGACAGCTAAATTTTATTGGTTAAAATTTGAATTTACAGCTTGTTTCATATTATTCAGGACAAAGTTAAAATTTTGAACCCGACATCCAGTTTGGTATGTCAGATGTTGGATTGTCACGTGAATCAAGATTTCTTTGGATTTTCATCCTTAGATATCTACATTGATTCACCTCTGATATAACTATCGGACTAACCTTTGCAGTTTTAGAGATATTTATATTTGTTTCTTTGTTGTTTTAGTTTCATATTTGTTGATGCTAGGTTTTGCAATTTGCATATGTTAGCAAAATCTAAACTCTCAGGAACTTTAACTATAGTAGGTACATTAGCTTTAAACCATGCAAAAAGGCATAATCTATTGCTTTCTTATATTTTATATATACATTTTTTGTAATTGGTTCAAAGAGATCCTCTTGATTTTTTATAAGAGTCTTGGGTGCACAAATGCGATTATTTTCACTTTCTGCACAAGTTATACAAACTAAACATATCGGACAACTATCTATAGGTTAAAGATGCAGTCTGAGACATATATATATATTTTTTTTGGAAAAAATAAATATAATAATTATACGGCCCTATAGGACCATCATGTACATGCTGTACCGATATTTTGTATATCATTCTTAATATAGCGTACTCTATAAAAACGAAATGTGTTAAATTTATTTTAAATTCGTGCTCATGTGTAATAAATGTCTAAAAAAGCACCATTTTGTTTTAATTTTTGTTTTTTTATAATATGACATAAATTGGAAAAAATGGTGCTTTTTAGACATTTATTACACATGAGCACAAATGTAAAACAAATTTAACACATTTCGACATTTCGTTTTTATAAGGGTACTTATGGAGCTCATCAGGAGTTTAACGGAAGAAGAAATTGAAGAAGTAAAGAAAGATGAGTTTGAATTTTAATGAGTACAGCGAGAAGAAAATGTCGTTTCCATTAAAGTTCTGAAAATACCAAAAACTTGGAAAATATTAATATACTCACAGAACGAAAATGCAGTAGAAAATGGCTTAAAGAAGGGAATGACATGGCTTTTTAGGCATTTCAAAGAGCCAATTAAAACAACAGATACTCTCTCAAGGACACGAAAATTCACGGAAAACATGGGAGACAGGGATGGGTTCAGCGCTGGGAACAAGGGAGGCTGAGCTGAATCCGGACAACATAATTTCAACGAATCCACAATCGTTAGGTAAATCACGTGATTAGGTAAGTACGCTAGGAAACGGTAAGACAATACCAACGACACCAATAATATTGGATAAAGATGTTACGCCAGCAATATCGGAGGAAGCAGTTGTGGATAACATTAACCAATGGAGACAAGGTATGGTAAGTATAGTGGAAACAACAAAAGTCGCGATTGAGCAATTACAAAAAGATAACGTTCAACCGGAGAAGTAGTTAAGGTGATAGAAAAGTTTAGAGAAGAGAAAACAATTATAGTAGAAAAAATTCAATAAGAACGTTATGTCGCGCCAAAAATAATTGAATTGATTAATACTTCCACATTAGCAGTTAAGACCGTAACAGAGCACGCGCAGTTGAGGGTGAATGAATTGAAGCAGATATTCAAGGATTGTAGAAGAGATATGGAGTGGGAGTTGATTAAAAAGGAGACATGTGAAGAAGTGACCTCCATGGGATATTTACCGGATAATGAAGGCTAATTTACAACTCATTAAAAGGCGGAATCACATGGTGTGATACAAAAATTTACGACGCTAAACGATGAGTTTACTGAAAGAATCAAAGAAGAAAACAGGGAAATTGACGAAAAGAACATTAGTGTTGAAAGAGCAACAAAAAGCAAAATGGAAAAGAATATAAAAAGAGATGGAGAGTTGAAGATAAGGAGTAGTTAAAGTAAAGAATTTTAATTTAATCCTATTGAAGTCACGTAATTTCACGTAAAAAATCTTTTCCAACACAAATTAGATAGGATTAATATTTTTATAGTTATACGAAAGTTTACTTTTGTTTTATTTTATATATATTTTGTAATTTTAATCATACATAATCATCTATTTAGTAAGGTTCGTTATGTAGTAGGTAATGGTACTACAACGTTATCCGTATGGGGTAACGGTTTTGGTATGGAAGGAGGTAATGGTATTACCAAACTCAAGATTTATATTATAGATTTTGTATGTTCAAAACATAGCATACTTATAACATTAAAGCAATAAATGAAATTTTATATGTTTTTTATTTGTTAAAAACTATAGACAAATTATTTATACTAATTTAATATTAAAATCGGAGTCTGTTAATACGAATTATTTTAGCTAGTTCGTCTTGAGAAATTGTAAGCTGAATTTTTTTTGTAATTTCGTAACTCTCAGAAGATTCGGAATTTTTATTATCTTTTTTTTGGATTTTTGTAAACTGTAAAAACAAATTCTACTAATTAACAAAAAAAAATATTCTAAATATGCCTTGCGATGCTCGTTTAAATGTATTATTGTTTATTAGAAAATTAAAATAATAAAGGTTTTCAATAAAATGATAAAATAAATTTTATAAATACTACTTACTTTTCGGGGATTTATTATCATTTCCGGTTATTTTTTTCGTTAGATTTCCATCATACGTAGTTGATCTTTTTCACCTGTTAAAAGACATGGTCATAAACTCTCATCATTTCTATGACTCAATCTCCGCTTAATAATGAAATAATTGAATATTAAATTAAGAGATTTATACTTATTCATATAAATAAAATGCTTTTTATATTTACCAAGAAATTCAATCAAAAATAGTTAAACATTGATGACTTTATCCCATAATATTGTATATGCAATAAATAACCCACTTAATTATCTTGATAACATTTTATACAATTATTTTTTCACGCCTCTAATGCTATACTTTTTATCAGAGAATTTAAGAGTTTAATTCCAAGGGACATCACTATTATTGGAAGTTGTAGGTACTTCTCCTTACGGCGGAAGCTGATTTCCTTTGCTTAATCTCGTCACTAACACCTCATTCAGGAAAGAGTCCATCCACTTTCCTCTGATGATTTAGAGTTGGTAATATTAGTTCACAACCAGACTTACTCTGCTCGAGCTGGACTATGACAGAGTCAGTTACAATATTATATTATTTCTATGGCTATTTTATTTATAAAGAACTTTGGTACTTTTAAAAAATATATTATTAAATTTAGAATCTTTAATAAAATACGAAACATAATTAACCGACATCAACTTTTATAAATAAAAAATAAGGCTCTCAGTCTTTATGAATTTCTAAGCACATAAAATTGAATTAACTGATGTTTAGAACGCTTTCTTTTTTTAACCTTATTTGTATTGCGCAAATTTATAATCTTTTTTTAGGAAAGTTACATATAAATCTTGTTATAATGCTGTGTTGGAAGCAATTTGGGTATAAATCAAATTATGAATGTGTATTCTCACGGTAAAGATGATTCTAAACCTACAATAAAGTTATCTTGAAAATTTTATTAATTGTTTAGGTACGGAACTATAAAATATATTGCATTTCAGTATAATGAACTGAATTTTTTCACGTTATTTAAAATTGTTATTCACGTGCTTCCGCAGTAATATAACTGTTTTAATAATAATTCCGCCCTATAATTTATTTTTATCCGAAGTATCACTTTAATAAATATTATAAATATTCTTTTTAACTGACATTATCCGCAATATCAATAAAAAATCATGAATGATTATTATAATATATAATAAAAACATATTAGAGTATCATAGACTTTTATTTAATAATTTAATAAAATTATTACAAATAATAATAATAATAATAATAATAAAATTTGTTCAATCACACTCGGTAATTTGGAATACTTCAAATTCTTCACAAGAAAATAAATCCTTAGTTTCTCTAATCGGTTTTTCATAAGACATACGTCTACAATAACATTCTCCAAATAAGTGAAGGTCACAAAAACCAAATGATGGATCTCCGTTAATTATAGCACATTCTTTATCAACTACACGACTTAAAATATGATCTTCAATATCATCATTACGCTTAAAAGAAAATATAAAACTATCCTTAGTATTGGTAAAACCACAAGCTTTCCATGTAATAGGATTATAACCTCCAAGAATTTCCTTACTACCTTTTACTTTAATAATTATTACAGTATGAGATTGATTATCACAAATTTCATGAAATTTTTCAATTGTAAATCCATCCCGAGAACCACGAAATAATAATTTCATTTTGTATTCAGTATCTTTATAAATTAATTTTGTAAATATTGAAGTAATAGTATTTGAGTTTTTCATATCGATCCATTTTAAAATTAATTCAACGTGTTGAGATGTGATTATTTTTGAGTCAATATTATTATTTCCTCCAATTTCTTTATTAATCTCTCTAGTTACACCAGGTTCGAATTTTTTAATCATTTGATTATTAGAATTCAAGTAATGTTTTAATAAATCTTTATATAATTCCCTTGGTAAAATTTTTTTATAAGGTAAGACCTTGTTCGAAAATTCGTCAGAAGTTAAATTATAAAATTTAATAAATGGAATACATTGTTGTAAACTATTCCTTAAAGTATCAAATTCTTCCTTTGAAAAATCTGTAGGATTTGAGGGAAACTCTGGATTTTTAGCAAGTCCCCATTTAAGTACATGTTCCCATACTTTTATTCCGCTCATTTGAAGATTGTCGCTTTGAATAAGTGAAACCAAAAGTTTTTCTGGAATCGAAGGTGAATTTAATGATTTGAATATCTTATCAGGTTCTCTGGATATTAAGTCGTTACAAAATTTTTGAAGTTTAAAAAAAGATTGATTTTCAAAACTTATTCGATATATTTCATTAAAGTTTAATTCCATCCAGTTTGTTTCGTATTCGACTAAAAATGATTGTATATAATCGATTAACTCTTTAAGACCAAGTTCATTTCCAGCAACCAAAATTTTAATTATATCTAAAGTATCATATTCTTCTAAAAAAATTCTTCCACTATAAATATACCTAAAATAATTTATGATTAATTAAAATATATTTATTAGAAAATATTTATTTTGGAATTTAATTCTTTTATTCTTACCTTAAGATTACTTGAAAAGTTTTGGGTGAAATATTCGGTAATTTAATATGTTTCAAACTTCCGTCATTATAATTTTTATCGGTTGACAAAATTCTTCGCAAATAAGGTGAACGATAACATAAAATTACCATATGAGCACGATATATTTTTACGTAAGGATCAATACCAACTTCAATAGTAATATCGTAATATACTTCATCTTTTAAAATTTCAAGTAAATTTTGAGACAAGTTTTGTAAAAGTTTATTATCAACCATTTTAATACTTTTTTTTCTTTTTTTTTTTTTAAAAAAAAAAAACCCAAAAAA